CTTACGTTTTTTTTTTTGGGCGAAAAATTAAGTTTCTCCAATCTTCCCAAATTCTGATAGAGGGCCATGAGACTTAGACCTGAGTGCAAAAATGGAGGCTCTAGCCCCTTCCAGAGCTGAGATATCGAAACTCAAAAATTCGGCCCGAAAAAAAAACGACAGTGGTACCCCTTACGTTTTTTTTTTGGGCGAAAAATTAAGTTTCTCCAATCTTCCCAAATTCTGATAGAGGGCCATGAGACTTAGACCTGAGTGCAAAAATGGAGGCTCTAGCCCCTTCCAGAGCTGAGATATCGAAACTCAAAAATTCGGCCCGAAAAAAAAAACGACAGTGGTACCCCTTACGTTTTTTTTTTTTGGGCGAAAAAATAAGTTTCTCCAATCTTCCCAAATTCTGATAGAGGGCCATGAGACTTAGACCTGAGTGCAAAAATGGAGGCTCTAGCCCCTTCCAGAGCTGAGATATCGAAACTCAAAAATTCGGCCCGAAAAAAAAAACGACAGTGGTACCCCTTACGTTTTTTTTTTTTGGGCGAAAAATTAAGTTTCTCCAATCTTCCCAAATTCTGATAGAGGGCCATGAGACTTAGACCTGAGTGCAAAAATGGAGGCTCTAGCCCCTTCCAGAGCTGAGATATCGAAACTCAAAAATTCGGCCCGAAAAAAAAACGACAGTGGTACCCCTTACGTTTTTTTTTTTGGGCGAAAAATTAAGTTTCTCCAATCTTCCCAAATTCTGATAGAGGGCCATGAGACTTAGACCTGAGTGCAAAAATGGAGGCTCTAGCCCTTCCAGAGCTGAGATATCGAAACTCAAAAATTCGGCCCGAAAAAAAAACGACAGTGGTACCCCTTACGTTTTTTTTTTTTTTGGCGAAAAATTAAGTTTCTCCAATCTTCCCAAATTCTGATAGAGGGCCATGAGACTTAGACCTGAGTGCAAAAATGGAGGCTCTAGCCCCTTCCAGAGCTGAGATATCGAAACTCAAAAATTCGCCCGAAAAAAAACGACAGTGGTACCCCTTACGTTTTTTTTTGGGCGAAAATTTAAGTTCTCTCCATCTTCTCAAAACTCTGGATTCTGATAGAGGGCCATGAGACTTAGACCTGAGTGCAAAAATGGAGGCTCTAGCCCCTTCCAGAGCTGAGATATCGAAACTCAAAAATTCGGCCCGAAAAAAAAACGACAGTGGTACCCCTTACGTTTTTTTTTTTGGGCGAAAAATTAAGTTTCTCCAATCTTCCCAAAACTCTGGATTCTGATAGAGGGCCATGAGACTTAGACCTGAGTGCAAAAATGGAGGCTCTAGCCCCTTCCAGAGCTGAGATATCGAAACTCAAAAATTCGGCCCGAAAAAAAAAAGACAGTGGTACCCCTTACGTTTTTTTTTTTTCGGGCGAAAAATTTAATTTCTCCAATCTTCTCAAAACCCTGGATTCTGATAGAGGGCCATGAGACTTAGACCTCAGTGCAAAAATGGAGGCTCTAGCCCCTTCCAGAGCTGAGATATTGAGATCCCACATGGCATTTATACCATTATAAAAATAGTGCGTTCGCTTACGGTGGAATTTTGGGACGGCGCTTGATGGTAACAGACCCCGGGGGGGCCTGCTGAGTGCAGTAAAATAGTATTTATCACGACAGGAACTTTAGTTAAAATGTCTATCAAATATACTACCCGAAACCCCATTCAATAGACTGCAGGCGGGATTGTGTTCAACATAAAAATGGTATGAAACTCATACAGGTTTGGAACAACATGAGGGTGAGTAAGTGATGACAAATATAATTTGACGTTGAACTATACTTTTAAAGGCATAGTTCACCCAAAAATTTAAATTAGCCCATGATTTAATTACCCTGGCCTCTAGCCATCCTTGGTGTATATGACATTCTTCTCTCAGATGAAAACAATCAGAGTTATATTAAACAATGTCCTGGCCCTTCCAAGCTTTATATTGGCTGTAAATGGTTGTTTCTGTTTTGAAAGTCCAGAAAAGTGCATCTATCCATGATACAAGTGCATCTATCCATCATAAAAGTGCATCTATCTATGATAAAAGTGCATCTATCCATCATAAAAGTTCATCTATCCATCATAAAAGTGCATCTATCCATCATAAAAGTGCATCTATCCATAAAAAATATATATCAATATAAAATATTTAAAATATAAAATATTTAAAATATTAATATTTAAGTTGCGCTTTAGATTTAAGTCAAATGTTCTTTTTTAAGTCTGTATGTTCTTTTGGCCTGAAGTTATTTTACTTTATAAAGTTTTAAATATGGATATTTTTCTTACATCTCCATCTTCCTCATTACTCCACATAAAGTCAACATCTGAGATATTTTCATCAGCTACATGTTCAAGCACTTCAGAACTGCATATTCTGCACATGAAAAAGTTTCAAAAATGTATCGGTACTGTGATATATATATTTTTTTATTTAAAAGAAATTTCAATCAGCATCACTGAAAATGTGACTTCAGCAACATGCTTTCAAACCTGCTGTCCATTGTAATTTTAAAAAATCCTGATTTAAAACGTGCAATTCTACAGTCGATTTTTAACTTTAATTAATAAGTTACATCTTTCTATTCAATGGCGCCACCAGGGGGTGGCCAGGGGTGGCCATGGCCACCCCTGGCCGACTCCTGGCCACCCCATTGGCCACCCCAATGGCCAGTATTAATTTTTGTAGCATCAGTTATGCATTTTATAAATAAGTCAAAAATATTCTTAAGTAAAAGAAGACGGGGAATTATGTGTCGTGACGTGCTTTTTTAAGTGCCAAATGGTATACAGCAGCTTTTAGGTGTGTTTTTGCCACGTTTGGACAGGCAGGGATGCTAACAGCGCGCTTTTCGGCGCCTCCCGCTTTTTTCACGTCAGTTTGGGTGACAAAGTCATCTGAAGTCATTCCATAGCTTAATGTGAGGGACAGAAGTATATTTACATCATTAAAGTATACACTCTAAAAAATGCTGGGTTGTTTCAACCCAAATTTGGGTCAAATATTGATAAACCCAAATGTTGGGTTAAAAATCTAATTAAAAAAAATTAAAAAGTTGAAGTTGGGTTAAAACTTTAAATTGTATTTTTAACCCAACATTTGGGTTTGTCCATATTTGACCCAAATTTGGGTTCAAACAACCCAGCATTGTTTAGAGTGTAAACTCGTTTTCCCTCCTGCGACTGTCAATCATTCTCCATTCATATTCAAACAGCACGCGCGCCTCTTGGATGCACGGTAAAACTCTCTCCAATATGATATATTGACATTATAAATGCATGATCTGTAGATAAAAGTCTGTATATTCGCATAAAATTACTTTATTTTCTTGGAGTTTGTTGCTGTTTTTAAGCGACTCACTACCGTGTTCTGTTAGATCACACATATCCAAGGATTATGAATCGGCATCAACGCCAATAACTGTGAAACAAAGGAACAAATCGCACTTGGATTTGTGCGCTCAACCATTTTTCGATTTGTGACATGAGCTTTTAAATGCACACTTATGAAGCGCAGTGCTGCTGCACACTGTGACTCCATGTTGCTTTGAGCACATCATTCTGCAGCCCGCGATGTTTTCATGTAATCATGCAAGAACGGCTCAATCATGGGTTTTCGCACTGAAATATTATTAAAAGCAATATATTTTGTTATAACCTAGCCTGCTCAATACATTTTAAATAAGCATAATAATTGTATATAATTTATTTGTAGTTTAGGCTATGCACTTCTGAATTCTTGACAGTAATAATATAAATATAAAATTGTGACATGATTGCCTGATTGAATTTTAAAAAGAGAACTAATAGTAATTTGTTTTTATTAACATATTTAGATTTTATAAATTTACTGTGCAGATTTTTTTCAAGAATTACTTTTTGCTGCTGATGTATACACCTCATTAAGTGTATTAAAAATTCATAATACATGTATGTAATATTTAAAGGTGTTAACTGTAATCTTACACTGCAAACTAATAACTTAAAAATGATTAAATTCATCACAAATTATGTAAGTATCTGGAATTTGCTGTGGGGCAAGGACCCTATATATCATATAATATATATCTTATATACATGTAATATATATTAGTTGGGCCTACTAATATCATTAGTAACATTAAATATTACACAATAAACCCAAAGTATATCAGTAGGAGTTTCCTTAAGGTCTTTCTGATAGTTTTCTACAGGCTGGTTTATTACAACAGTAGAAAACAATTCTGAAATTATGGTTTATACTGTAGTTTTGGTGTGCCACCCCAAGATTTTAACTGGCCCCATCTGGCAACCCCTACGAAAAATTTCTGGAGGCGCCACTGTTTCTATTTTACATACAAACTATGAAATACTGGCAAAAATATAAACAAAATGTAAATACACCTTAGAAAATGTTGCGTGCTTCTGTGTTTGGAGTGAAGTGCTGCCATGCTTCTCTTCAATGTAGAGTTTTTTAATATAATTACTACATGCAGAGCTTTACTGGTATTTGATTGGATGACAAACGTCCAATCTCATGGACTGCAGGCTTTAAACTAGGTGAACTGCTCCAGAAGTTAAAAAAAGGGGGCTGACATGTGATGTCCATTGTAATGGACACAGGGTCTGAATGGGTTAAAACACATTTGAGAATTACAGTGATGTGAATATATATGTATATTTATATTAAACTGTATTCTACTGCTTTTCATCAATGCTGATTTATATTTTTTATTACATTTAATGATTGATTTTTTTTTATGAATTTTTGAGAATAAAAATTACTAGGAAAATGTCATGAAATGAAATGAAATGCAAAACAACCCCCAAAAAGTAAATGGTTCTAATGGTTTTTTTTCATAATTTCATTTTTATTTTTATTTTGAGGTTTGAATAACAGAATAAAAATTACTAGAAAAAAAAAATATATATATATATATTTCCGCCTTACTTAGTTCAAATGTCATGAAAATGCTAAATTACCATTTTCTTTTAATGTTGAGGTGTGAATAACAATGAAAATTATGAGAGAAAAAAATCTGCATTACCTTAAAAAAATTCAAGTTAAATGTCAAGAACATGCACAAAAAAAAAATTGAACAGTCCTAATGATGTTTATTCATAATGTATTTTTCTTTTGATTTTTAGTTCTGAATTAAATTACTAAGAAAATAAACTCATGAAAATGTAAAATAAACCCCCCAAAAGTAATTAATTTTTTCTTTTGTTTTTGAGGCGTGACCTGTTCATGTTTTTGTGAGATTCAACTATACATTATATTCATGCAATAAAGAGTCTTATAAGCGTACAAGTGTTTTCCAGCAAGATAATGCATGCGGATAATTTACGAAAAACTCCGTACATACACTAATAATAAAAAGCACCAACAATAAATATACAAATTAAAAAATATATTGAATTAGACGTCTGGTTGACGGTGTGGCAGAATCTACATCATCTAAGTTCATTGGTGGGTTTGCTTGACAGTCCTGTTGCCAGGTGACAGTTTGATTGACAGTCCGTGAAAGCCGTTCATGGGCTAGATTCAATTTTCTCTTGCTGTTTCCTCATAATTTCCTGCAATTCAGAATCTCCTCGACTCTTCTAGTAGAGAGAGAAAAGACAAATCAGGCAAATGCTATAGGTTTCCCATGATGCACTGTTTCTAATATTGTGTGCAGTGTTTCTTTTTTTTTTTTTTTTTTTTTTTTTTTTTTTTTTTTTTTTTTTTTATTTAACAGTCAGACATACATACAAACAAACCAACATAGTGCAGTAGTGAGCAATCTTGTAAGTCCATAATTCCAGCAGTGGCAAGAGTGATTAAGTGTTTGATCTAAGTGTGTAAGTGAGCGTGTATGAGCGTGGGTATGTGTATGCGTGTGTACACAAAGTAACCATTTATAATTTATTACCATTGTCATTACCATCACTCCCCACTACCACCATACTGCCCATATTGTTTTTGTAGATTTTTATTTCCATCCTTCCTCCTATGTAACAATTGCCATTGTCAATCCTGTACAAAATATGATAATATAATAATATAATATAATATAAGACAACCTTCCCCACATCTCATCAGTCCCTATCTTTTCTATCTTTTTTCTTTTTTGTGTGTGTGTGTTATGTGCAATGTCTAAAGTGCATTAAAAGAGGGAGTACAGTGCGAGAATGTCTCAAATTGGGCCAGAGATGCTGTCCCGTTGAAACTACTTCTCGCCTGTCTTGCCTGCCTTGGTGTTTGCGATGTTTATCCAAATATACTGATTTTTTTTTTTTTTTTTTTTTTTTTTTTTTTTTTTTTTTTCCTTTTCTATGTTGTGGTGCATTAAAAACCCATGAAGAGATAAGGGGGAAGTTATTGCAAATGGCGCTTAATTCTAGTTATACATTCTAATTCTACAGCATTGACAACGGCAATATTGATGATGATAATAATAATAATAATAATAATAATAGTAGTAATAATAATAATAATGAATGACAATGATGATGGCAGTGGTGATCACAACGGTGAGAGCAAAAGACAGCAACAACAGCAATTACAACAATGAAACAACAAAAAATTAAATAAAAGTGAAAATAGTAATCATAACAGGACAGTAAAGATAGCAATAACAATGATGACAAAAACAAGTTCGAACAACTAAAATGCACAAATATTCGTGGGTTGGTTATAGTCTGAGTTAAGAACAGAGAAGGGATTCATAGCTGTAAGAGGTCAGAAAGTGTTGGACGGTAGAGGTCAGTTTCCGATGTGTAATTATGAAGAGGAGATGCGAGTTCCATTGCAATGAAGTCTGTAATAAGATTTTTCCAAATGTTAATGTGTAATTTATTTCTGGTTTTCCAGTTCATGAGGATAGTTTTCTTGGCGATGGTTAGCGCTATGAGGAGTATTTTTAGAGTTTATAGTTTTATCAGTGATTATTGTAAGGTCCCCCAGCAAGCAAAGGGAAGGCGACAATGGGATGTGGCAGCCAACTATAGTGGATAGTGATTGTGTGATCTCTTCCAAAAGTGTTTGATTGGAGTGCAGTGCCAGGTTGCATGGATGTATGTGTCTGTAGAATTTTGATTGCAATGTGTGCAAACTTCTGATGTGAAACCCATTTTAGCTAATCTATTGCCTGTGTAATGTGTTCTGTGGAGTATTTTGTATTGTATTAACTGAAGATTCGCATTTTTTGGACATGAGATAGACATTTTTACAGATTTGGGTCCAGAAGTTGGCATCAGTGGTTATTGAAAGATCATTTTCCCATTTTATTGTTGGTAAGTATATAGTCTGAAGTTGATTTGAGATAATTTTGTATATTTTAGAGAGCAGTTTTTTTTGGAGAGGAAATGTTGACCATGTCTGATATTGCCGGTGGAAGTTCTAAATTTGTATCTCTGATGTTTATTTTTGCCAGGACAGAAGATTTGATTTGTAGGTATTTTAAAAATTCGTTGTTCCCCGATGCCATACTCCTGTGCCAGTTGTGGAAATGGTTTAAATGTGTTGGCTTTGAAAATATGCTTAATGTGGGTGATACCCCTTTCCGCCCATGTGTGAAAATTTAATGTTTTTTTATTGCTTATAAAATCACGGTTGTTCCATAGTGGAGTGAGGTTAGATGGAGCTAATGTAGAGTTTGTGATTTGGTGAAATTTCCACCAGGCTGTCAGAGTGGAGGCTATAGTTACTGGCATTAAAACATGTGTGTTGTTTAATTGATTTGGTGAGGAACGGTATGTCAGCTATATTTAATTCTTTGCATAGTGATTGTTCTATATCTAGCCATATAATATCAGATTGGGTGGGGTGAATCCATTTGTATATGTATTGCAGTTGGTTAGCCATTGAGTAATATTGGAAATTTGGTGCTTCTAGTCCTCCTTGAACCTTACTCTTTTGTAGTGTAGTGAGTTTTATCCTTGGCGTTTTATTTTTCCAGTAGAAGTGAGTTATAATGGAGTCTAGTGATTTAAACCAGGTGAGTGTGGGGTGGGTTGGAATCATTGAGAATAGGTAGTTAATTTTTGGTAGAATCGTCATTTTTATTGCTGCTATCCTGCCGATTATGGAGATTGGGAGGTTGAGCCACCTGAGCAAATCGTCTTCTATTTTTTTTAGTAGTGGTGTGAAGTTGAGTGTTACCAACTCTGACAGTCTGGAGGAAATCTTAATGCCTAAGTAAGTGATGTGATCCTGACAAATAGGTATTGGTGATTGATGGGGTGCCACATCCCATTTGGTTTTATGTAAAGGGAGGATGGAGGATTTATTCCAGTGCAGTGTTTCTGACCTCTAGTTGTGATTTCTGGACGGTGATCTGGCTGTAGACGCGAGAGCCTTCGTCTCCACACACGGCCTTCAGGTGATCTTTATTCAGAGAGAAGAGCTGAGCTCCTGTCAGGATGCCCAAACGCTCCACCGTCCTGACACACACACACACACACACACACACACAGTCTTATTCCTCAACTTTATTCTCATGAACTTCGACAGTGTGATGAAGTCATGTGAAAGGCTTGTATCCACTGTTCATGCTGTCACATGTGCTTTTTCCACAGTTAAGGCCATTGGCTATAATTAGGGAAGCCCTTCAATCTGTCCCGGGTCATATTCTGATTTCAACAGGAAATGTGTCATCAAAGAGAAAGAAGCCTCTTTTTGCTAACTAATGATTTTATTTTAATACAATTTCCATATAATAGTTTAGAAGGCTTAATGAGTTATTAGTAAAAATTATGTTTTATTTAATATGGTTAAAATTTTATTTTAATATTTTTTTTCATATTTTACAAGGCTTAAAGAGTACATTTTCATTTTTAAAGATACATTTTCTATAGTTTAGAACGCTTTTTAAAAATATTTGAATAAATGTTTTAAAGTTTAGAAGGCTCCATGAGTGTAGTAAAAAAAAAATTGTATTATAGTTTTAATATTTGTTTATCGTTTAGAAGGCTTAATTATTTTATTTTTATTGAATACATTTTTCTTTGTTTTATTAGGCTTGGTAAGTTCTCGTGAATTTTTATTTTATTTTCATATATTTTTCATCGTTTACTAGGCAGTAAAAAATAAAAATAAAAATTTTTTTTTGAAAACATTTTCCAAAGTTTACGAGGCATGAGTTATAAGATAAAAAATATATATTTTTATAATATTTTTTAAAAATATTTTTTTTATAGTTTAGAAAGCTTAATTAGGTCTCAGTAAAGTACATTATTTTATATTTTTAAAATAATATTTCATAGTTTAGAAGGTTTCATGAGGTCTCGCAATTCTGACTTTATATCTCGCAATCCTGACTTTATATCTCGCAATTCTGACTTTATATCTCGCAATATTGACTTTTTATCTCATAATTCGGACTTTATATCACACAATTTTGACTTTATATCTCGCAATTCTGACTTTATATCTCGCAATTCTGACTTTATATCTCACAATTCTGACTTTATATCTCGCAATTTTGACTTTATATCTCACAATTCTGACTTTAATCTCGCAATTCTGACTTTATATCTCACAATTCTGACTTTATATCTCACAATTCTGACTTTATATCTCGCAATTTTGACTTTATATCTCACAATTCTGACTTTATATCTCGCAATTCTGACTTTATATCTCACAATTCTGACTTTATATCTCGCAATTTTGACTTTATATCACACAATTTTGACTTTATATCTCGCAATTCTGACTTTATATCTCGCAATTCTGACTTTATATCTCACAATTCTGACTTTATATCTCGCAATTTTGACTTTATATCACGCAATTTTGACTTTATATCTCGCAATTCTGACTTTATATCTCGCAATTCTGACTTTATATCTCGCAATATTGACTTTTTATCTCATAATTCGGACTTTATATCACACAATTCTGACTTTATATCTTGCAATTCTGACAAAGTCAGAATTGCGACATGTAAACTTGCGATTGTGAGAAAAACAGTCAGAATTGTGAGATAAAAAGTCACAATTACCTTTTTAATTTTTCATTCCGTGGCGGAAACAAGTTTCAATAGCTGTCAGTGGCCTGACTCACGGTTTGGAGAAGCCCTTGGCGTTGAGCCAGGTGGTGACCTCTGCTGGGCTGGAGTCGAAGGCCAGCGGGACGGCCGACTGACGAACCACCTTGAAGTTCCTCGTGGGCTGATTGGTCTTATTACCGGTGATCAACATGAGCAGCTCATCGTTGACTTTATCCATCTGATGAGTGTGACCTGAGGCAGAACCATAAATACATTTTTTTTTCAGATGTATTCTCATCCAAAACCACTAACGGGTTCTGATCATAATTATCTTGTGTGTGTGTGTGTGTTCTCTCAGACTCACCGTCTTTATCGTTGCCCATTGAGCTGGAGGGGGACTGTCCTCGGTACGGCTGTGTGAGTGACAGCAGGAGACACACAAAGTAAAGATTACTAATGTCGGGAACACACTAATGAAACATTATAAGACTGAACTGAACACACTTACACACTTTTCAACCACTGAGCCCTATTTTAACTGAACGCAACTGTCTCTGACTCGGCAAGTATCAAATTACATTCATAATCAGCCTAACAGTCCTTAAAGGGATAGTTCACCCAAAAAAGAAAATTCTGTCATCATTTACTCACGCTCATGTTGTCCCAATCTAATTTCTTCTCTTGAACACAAAAAATATTTCGAAGAATGTTGGTAACCAAATGGTTTCTGGTCCCCATTGACTTTGATTTCCATACTATGGGAGTCATGGGGTCCATCAACTGCTTGATTGCTGATATTCTTTAAAATATCTTGTTTTGTGTTCAACAGAAGAAAGAAATTCATGTAAGTTTGGACCAACATGAGCGTGAGTAAATGATGACAGAATGTTTGTTTTTGGGCGTACTATCCCTTTAAGGGTGTCCCCAACTTAAGGACATTAACGTTCATTTAAATCTGATTACGTTCGGCTGGTTTGTTTACCGGACTGTACGGTGTTACTGGACTGTAGGGCGGGTCACTCATGACTTGAGGGTCCTCGAGTTTGACCACATCCAGGATATTATAGGGCACGTATCCCGCCTGACCGCTTCTGTTCCTCAACTTCCACCACTGCTTGTCATCCTCCAACACCTTAAAGCAAACATCAGTTCTTTCATAATACAAATCAACAGAAATTGTGTTGCATGACTTTTTTAGTCACACAGTAAGAGAATAAAGCAATAAAATGGATCTTCTGATGAGTATTTATTGAAATCTCTGGTTTTTGAGTGTATGCTGGCAAATCTGAGCACAATCATAGAGCTTGAGTGAGTCTTTTTCTCAGGAGAAACATCGTCAGGCCCTGTTTACAGCTTGTATTAAGATGTTTTGGTCGATCGGATCACAAGTGGACGAGTGAGACGCATTCCCGTTCTTATAGACATAATAAGCTCCCGCAATTTACACATGAACATGACCAGAGACGATAGTTTTACACCCCGTTTACTCCTGTATTTGTGATCCGATCCACCAAACGCATCTTAATACCAGTTGCAAACGGCGCCTGAAGGACAGGAGACTTGAGCAAAACTCTATTAGAGCTCTGTTTAATCTTTGAGATGGTAATGAGATGTTAATGAGGTGTTAATTAGATGTTAATGAGATGGTAATGAGATGTCATTTGTGATCTTTCTACCTCCAGAATTTCGTCCTGGAGCACTGACAGCTCGTTGGCATTACGTGCCACAAAGTGGTAGCGGATCTTCGCATATTTCCGAGAAGGAGGAGACGTCGAGAAAGACCTGAAAAAAAATGTGAGGGCAACAAGCTGATCAGAAAGATCTTCACATGGATCAAATGTCAAAAACATGCGTCACACTAAAAGGGGCAAGATGTCACAATGTGACAAGGACAAAATCCCTTCGTTTGATGTTTGAACTACTATCTGAACGTAGCGGAAAGTGAATGAAAAGAAATCTTCCACAATTTATGGTCGATATAAATAATATGCCATTTAATGGATTTTCAGCTAACTTTAAAGGGTAAAAAAACGGCAGATTTGTGGAATATCTACATTGTTTTGGCCCAATTGCAATTGATTTGACATTTACAGAAAACACTTGACTCTTGTCTGAATGTATGTCAGTGTGGTTTTATTTTGGTCACTTAAGTTGTTACTCAATAGCTTTTAGTGTTTGAAGGAGAGAATTCGTAAAAAAAATTCCAATTGAATTGAATTCTAATTTACTCAAAAGCTCAAAGTGACTGAGATAAATACCTCTTGACAACTAACTCACCCGTTTGAAGAGAGCGACGACTGTGATCCAAAGAACTGACATGGAAAAGAGGGAAAAGATGGAATCCATATATCACAGACCAGATTTATACACAGATTTAGACACTTATGCACTCAACCGTGTATTAGTGTATGAATTTTATACGTTTATTTTGTCTTTCAACATCGATTAAAGCGTAATTAGAGCACAAGGTCGCGATTTGGGACGCACCTTGTGTGTTTAAACGGCTTCATAAATCATTGCTTTCATCAATCATAAATGTATTCATCATCTCTCTCACCTCTTTTTTCCTGTACTCTGACTGCACTGGAGTGCTCTCCGTCTCCCACGGGGACATGCGAAACAGATCCACTGGCGGCTCCCAGCCGTTACGAAACTTTGGGACATACAGAGGCGCGCACTGATCTTTCGGCCAATCAGCTCTGAGATACACAAAGACACACCCAGAATAAGGCAACATAAACATACAGACTAACGGTCGACTGATGCTAATCTAGTTTATTTACTATTAACAGATGAAATAACTAAAGCCAGACCGATATATCGGCCGATATTAGGCATTTTCCAAACTATCGGTATCGGCAGTTATAATGTCCGATAAATGAATATTTCACAAATAAAATAAAAACGGACGAAACACGCTTGAACCATGTCATGAGTGTTGGAGTTGTATAGTTTGTCCACCAGAGGGCGCTCTACACCGTTCCTGTTGGCAGCACTCGTTGAGTAGGTCACGAGTTACGTTACGTTGTTACAGTGTCGTTGACTGACTGTCCTTTTAACTTTTGACGATGTGACTGAAGTATTTCTTTAATAGCGCGTGACAGTTTTAGCAATGAGACGTATCATCTCTCCTCGGCCTGTTATATAGAAAACGTATGTTTTACAATTTGCAGTATGACGTCATCCATTGCTAAATTATGGCTCATCATAACCATAAAGCTAGCTAATGCCACTATCATCAGTCTGTTCTGTTGTGACAATAAAAGAAACAAGTTTCTTTTTGAAAATGCATTATCATATTATTTTAGTTAAAACTCATAAATATCTACAAATAACTTATGTTAGGGAAATCTGTTAATGTTTTGTTCCTGGTTTCTGAAATAAAAAATAGAATAAAATATCGGCCGATATATTGGATTTTAAAACCAACAAATATTTGTATCGGTATCGGCCTTCAAAATCCTTTATCGGTCGGGCTCTAGAAATAACATAACAAAATATGTTATAATATAATGATAATATAATAAAGTGCCCCTTTATGCTATTTTAAAGGTTCCTAATTTTGTTTTGGAGTCTCCTACAATAGGCTTACATCCATTCAAGGTCAAAAAAAATAATAAAATAAAATAATAACACGAAAAAACACTTTTTCTCATTATATACACTGACATGACCCAGTCTGTTGTGATTGGTCTACTCTGCTCTGATTGGTCAGATGACCCAGTCTGGGGCCGACACAGGACGACTCATTCGGGCAGTTCAGAATCAATTCTTTCTTGGTATCCGAAAAAACACAATAGAAGCGCAAAAAAACTTTAAAGTTTAAAATAACCAATCCTATTTTTTATTCGTCCATTCAAAAGCTGATTTTAGGATTCCCACGAGGAGGAACTACCATCATGTGATACTGATAATCTCAAACAGAACAAACATTGGCTGATGTCTCAGCTGGATATATCAGTTTACCACTGACACACACTCCTGTACCACATCTACAGTTGTTGGTAGACACATCACCTGGGCCTCGTCCAACCATCTCCCAGCAGCTCAAAGATGGTCATCTCTTTGGGAGTCAGGTGTCCTCTCAGGAAGTCCACTGTGTCCCGCGACAGGTGAGGAGAGATGACCCCACGCGGCAGCTCAGGACTGCCACTATTCTGCAGGATCTGAATTCACACAGGAAAAAAAACACATTACCGTTAGATATAGAGAATTAGATGAGCCTTTAACTATTATGCATATTTCAATTTTCTTATTGTACCAAGCAGGATGCTCATATTGTACATTTTATTATTGTTGTTGTTGAAGTTTATTGTAGTTTTACTATACTTGAATAAAAAAAATAATAAATAAAGTGAGATAAATGTGCCCAAACATTAATGCTGAGGTGTCTTCATAGGTAAAAATGATATATTATGTTGCATTTTATGTAAATTTAAATGAAATGTTTTTTTAGGGGCAGCATTAGCATTAAGGTTTTGGTTTATTCTGAATCTGTGTTAAGATAAGCACGCATTTTTATAATAAAAGCAACAGAAGTGTTTGGTATGTTTTCATTTCGATAGCTAGGGAAACATTTTGTGTGTGTGTTCAGTTCCTCACCATTTCCAAAGGTCCAAACAGGAAGTGTACAAGTTCTGCAGCGCTGGGGTTCTGGATGTGTTTCTTCAGTTTGGCCTGTAGAGGGCACACACACACCGTCAAAAGGCCGTCAGACCTCTCAGATAAATGTGTGTGCATTTCATTCATAAAACATTTCTTACAAAAATTGTCACTGGAACTGAATACAATTTACAGTTTGAAATAGTCTGGAACACTTTACAATTTATGTTTACAAATGGCCTGCACAGAAATATGCTCTTGTTTCTTTCTGCATGCTGTAAAAAGTTAAAGCACACACACAATCTGAGTGCAAATATCCCAGATGACTTTCAGAAAGACCAAAGCACGGATTTTGCATCTTGTGTTTTTAAGAGCGTGCTTTTCGTTTGGAAACAGAGAAAGGCGAAACCCACCAGCAGATTGAAAGAGAGTTTCAGCTTCTGAAGACAGTCGATAAACTCTCCTTCTGATGGAGGCTTGGCTCGTAGAGTTAGCATTCCCTCTGAAACACACGCAAGCAACACGACAATAATGCATGTGAATTTATTTACACATTTGTTTCCTAAGCATAACTAAACTAACGTTATTTTAGGGATGTAAACAAATAAAAAGTAATCTCCCAGATGTGTTACGCATGAGTATGTATTTCGTATGAACATACCTGCCGGTCCTCTCTTTTTGCCTTTCTTGCTGCGGTTGCGCTGGTTGAGTTGAGAGAAAGCCTCTGCCGCTTTATGAAGACGCGCCACGAAGATCTCGATGTCATCTAGAGCGCAATTCAGGATTTGCTGAATGACACAATACACAGCGTTACGTCTGCTCTGATGTAACCACTAATCTGATACACTCAATGGTTGAGTGTGTTTTAGATGTGTGTGTGTGCGCAGATATCAAGTGTTACGCAGTGACACCGGCACTCACCACGTCCTTCTCGATCCGCTGGGCCAGTTTCATAGTGGACTCGGGATCCTGCATCGACAGTTCATCTGAGACAAACGCACAGTGTGGTTAGCATTAATGCATTGACTGTAACTGTAAGCATACTGGCGTATTGTGTCTATGGCACCTTTCATGTCCGAAGCTGCTACTCGACCTTTGACCCCAGGGCCAGGACTTCTAGTCTCAGAGGGCGGGATGATGGTCTCCCGTTGGCGTTTCATCTTTTCTTGGTTCAACCTGATAGAAGGGAGAAAAAGAGAGAAATGTGTTTCCGACATAGGCAACATTTTAGGAAGTCCTGATGTGAGGGTTGATCCAAACGGTTGCCAGCTAAATTAAAAACTTTGTCTTCCCAGCATGTATAATTTGCCAAGACAATCCCTTGAGGATTGTGATGAGCTCGGATCGTGTACAATGTGGGAAATTATGATTATTAAATTTTCCCTGCCATTGACAGAATCATTTATGAGACACCGGCAAACGTGTTTTCAACGTTATACGGTAGGGGGCGCTATGGGCTATATGCACGCATAAATTCTGCATTTGACGCAAGGATGCTTGTCCATTTCCGGTTGTGGAGATTAAAGCGGAGGAAAACCGAGGAAAACGGGTCTTTGAAATGAAACGTACATAAGTTTAGATGTAATTTTATATATAGTTATGTTTATTTAATATAATTTTAAAAAGAAGCATAAACACAACGAGGGGTGTCTGTTTTATCTGTTTTTGTGACTAACGTTTCTTTAGTATAACCATGGAGTATAAAATTCAATATAAATTCTCGGTATTGCATTGGACTCTATGATCGGCGGAAGTTATCGAGCATCCTTAATCCTTCACCGGAAATAACGCCGTGCATAGAGCCCATTACACATCTTCTGTAAGAGTACTGAATCTCCTGATCAAAACACAGTCGAAGAAGAAGCAGAAGCATATTCATATGTAAAATAATGGCATTAACAGCATTTAAATCAAAATGTGACTGAATGAAATGCCGCCCCAGGATCTGAAGGACTGCTATAGGACTGAAGCTATGGGGGTGTTGATGAACTCAATCTAATCCATCCATTCTGAATCCAATCTGGATGTACTTTTTGTTTACAACGTTGAATTTGCTCTGCTTTTTTGCTCAAAATTTCGCTTTTTATATGAAACTTACCCACATTCAAGTGTTGATAAAAAAAAATTCTTTCTGCTGATATATTGCATATTCAATTATTCATGCAACAAAATATTTTGGGAGCCATCAAAATTTTGTAAATACAAATGATCAAAAATGCTGGCGGTGGATGGAAAAAAATTAAATTGTAAACGCTTGTGGGGAAAGGGTTGATACGATTGATTAAATACTGAAAATGATCAAACTTGAACTGTAGCACCTAGAAATGTCCTCAAACACTGCAGCAATTACCCAGAAGTGCTGTAAACCTTAAATCTTCTAACAATAGCTCATTTTGACTAAATGATCGACTTTTTCCTTCTCAGCCTGTGTAATTTCCAAATGTAATCCATTAATGCATTGTGATGACCTCAGCAAACTACTGAAAAACTCTAAAACACCCCAAAAATCACCTAAAACATCTTAGCAAACACCTGACAATGGCATAAAACTACCCAAACACCATATTAGATAGATAATATGGGGCAAAATCTGATTATAAAATTAATTCATCCAATACTGGAAAGAATCAAAATGGTTTAACCCACTATTGTGTGTGCTGTGTGTTTTTATGCTTAGCGCTACTGCTTAGTTAGCGTAGCAAAATGCTAACAAACTACCGAAATCAATTGCAAGTCACATCTCCTGTGCACTTAAGGTTACATTTCAGTTAAGGCACCTAAGTAGACAGCAAGGCTGAGGAACAGAGCTGTGTGTGTGTGATGATTTTTCGGGGAAAAAAATCACACTGTTTCCAAAACACAAGTCTGCATGTAGCCAAAGCTCAGTGCTAATGCTTTAGCATCCTTAAATAAATGAACAACTTTTACACACAAGATCACAGCAACCTCGTGGTAAATGTGTCTTTACTATCTGTTGATCCTGTTATGTGTTTTTAGGACGTCTCAGTGTCGTCAATAGACAAACAGTCGGTCTGTTCAGCAGGTAGAAGTGATGTGAAACTTGCTGTCAGTCAATCTGACTAGTAATAAGTTATTTAAAAAGCACTCCAGTAGTGTCTAAGAGGTCTGGGTCTCACTTTAGCGTCTGCGGCCGATTCTTCTTGCCGCGTGAGTTGTCTCCCAGAGCGCTATCAATGTCAGCGTGCACCAACTCAGCCTGAAACACAAACACACACACATGGTTTAAGTGAAAGCAGTGAATGTTAATCATTCCATGTCCGTTTTTAATCTTTTTCATAATGGTATTTCTGGAAAATTATGACGTTTCCAGCGGCTGATCATTGTGTCTGTATGTACAGGAGTGTCTATGTTTTGCCGTGAATACTAACTAGGGATGGACAACGATTAATCGCATCCAAAATAAAAGTTTGTGTTTACATGATATATGTGTGTGTGGTGTGTATAATTATTTTGTATATATAAATACACACACATGCATGTATATATTTAAGAAAAATATGTTCTTAATATATCAAATATTAATTATGTATAAAGTATATACATGCAAATATTTCTTAAAATATATACATGCATGTGTGTGTATTTATATATACAAAATAATTATACACACCACACACACATATATTACGTAAACACAAACTTTTATTTTGGATGCGATTAATCGCGATTAATCGTTGCCCATCCCTACGAAAATGAAATGTCAAGCATTTTAAAGTATCATGACACTTTTTTTGTTTTAGAAAGTTATATATAAAAGTTTGTGTTTGTGTCCCACCTCCACTTCGTCGCAGTAGAAGAAGTGGATGTCTGGTTTGTGTTGTTCGTCGTCCTGACAGATGAGCAGAAGGACGGAGGGGTATCTCGTCTGGTTCAACAGCGTCTGACAGTGATGGACTGTGGCCAGAGGAAAGTTTTCAAGCTCTTCCTGAGAGAAAGAAAGAGAAACGAGAGATCAGGAGAATTAGACCTTTAAAATGAACTTCAACATGACCTAACCCTAAATAGCTTGCAAATATATATATACATATTAAAAGTAAAATTAAACCAAGCTGCTAAATGTACAAAAAATAGTACATACACATATGAAGTACGTAAACCTGATTCTTAAATATTTTTAAAAAAATGAATTAGGGCTGTCAAACAATTAAACCGCAATTAATCGCATCCAAAATAAAAGTTCGTGTTTACATAATATGTATGTGGGTGCACTGTGTATAATTATTTTATATTAGGGCTGTGCAACGATTAATCTCAATTAATCGCATCCAAAATAAAAGTTTGTGTTTAATACAGTATATGTGTGTGTAGAATTATTTTGTATATATAAACACACACACACACACATGCATGTATATATTTAAGAAATATTTGAATGTATATACTAATAATTAATATTATGTATAAATATAAATATTTGATATATTAAGAACACTTTTTTCTTAAACATATACATGCATGTGTGTGTGTGTGTTTATATATACAAAATAATTATACACACTTTGCACAGATATATTATGTAAACACAAACTTTTATTTTGGATGCGATTAATCGCGATTAATCATTGCTCAGCCCTATTTTATATATATATATAAAAACACACACATGCATGTATATTTAAGAAAAAAATATTATTTATATATAAAATATGTATATTTATATATAATATAAATTATATATATAAGCATGTGTGTGTATTTATATTTATACAAAATAATTATACATAGTGCACCCACATATATTATGTAAACACAAACTTTTATTTTGGATGCGATTAATCGCGATTAATCATTTGACAGCCCTAAAATAAATACACTTAGTGTGGAAATGTTAATGTTTCTCAGAATTAAATTATTGCAACTTCTAACAATTGAATAAACTTAAAAATAAAATCAAGCTGAAGACCTTTGACACAAAAAAAACAATGATTATAATCATTAATGAGGTCAAAGATCTGGGAATGTTGGCACATATCACCACAATAGTGACATCACACTAAGAATCATTTCACATGATTCACGCGAATGAAACGCTCCCTATCCAGTTATTCCAGATCAGATCGGATTACACTTGGTCAACAGGTGTGGAACATGCTTTAATCGGTTCTTATTTCCATGATCCCAAGTGTGTTGTTTAACGTTTTATTCACCATCAAGGTGCAAATGGTTTTAAATTGGCATAAACTTGCAAACCCAGAATCATTAATCGATCTTGGCTGAGACAAAATGGACCAGAATTGACTGGAGTCTGGAATGTGAAAAAGCTGCTTGTTAACATTGATAACATTACCCAATAGTCCGCTATATTGTCTTGTATAGTCAATAATTGGCTAATAAATTACGTCAGAGGAAAAGGACAATACTGTACATTACAAAAGATTACAGACACACACTAATGAAACTTTAACAATAAGACCAGGAACATGGATTAAGTTCAGTTAAATTGTATATTTACATTACAAAAGTTATTGTGCTAATTTCTGCAGATGTGAACACACACGCTCACCTTGGTCTCGCAGTCCAGGAGTTTGATGGATTTGTCCGTCACCTGTAGCAGCATTTCCTGAGTCCAGATTTTGTCTTTGGAGTCCAGCAGTTTCAGCTTCTTAATGGCGTCGTCTACCGTAGTGATGGACTCTGTTTTATCCATGATGAACGTAGAGAGATGCTGCAAACATACGTGTGTAAGGTCATTGCTAGAATGATGCATTGTGATTTGGTTCATTACATCTGATCTGTATAATGGACTGTTATTTTGCATGTGCATTTAAAAAGATCTGTTTACAATTGACAGTCTACTAATAGTGCTATAGTAATGATGTCACCACTGTCAAGACTGTCGAGACAAAAGGAAATTTTGGCGAGCCACCTGGGGGAAACATAAGCAACTTTTTTTTTTTTTTTTTTTTACATTCATGCATATAAATGTTGTAAAAAAATTGCAAAATGTTAATTTATCCAATACAGTAAATGTCACATAACTGACTATAAGAGGAAGGAGAGAGCAAATGGATGGATGGACTCATTTGGATTGCAATTGTAATGCAAAGCAATATTTGGCATTTGATCAGACCATTTAAGATTTTAAAGCACACATTTATGTGATTTGGATTGGATTTGTACTTCGTACTTCTTACGTTTTTTTCCCTGTGCAAACTACAAAAACTAAACAAATTTGAGCTGCTCTATATTTAAATCCATTGCATTTTAGGAGATAATAAACTGGGATATTAAAGAGATCTTATTATTGATTTTTTATTTTTAGTAGGTGAATGTCAGTCCTGTTTGTCTAAAATACACCTACATATTGTCATTGGGCGTGTGTCAGCATCTTAAATGAATGATTTGTTATTTTAATAGAGTGAGTAATGTTAGCACACACCTTATAATATTTATACATCCACTTCCTGTGTGTGTGTGTGTGTGTGTGTGTGTGTGTGTGTGTGTGTCAGAATACATGTCATTTACATGTCACAATACAATGTGACAAACAGTGATCCCAACCCATCAAAGACAACTAATTATTCAAAGCATCATGCATGATTCATAAGCAGATTAAGTCTTGTCACCAGTTATATAAGAAAGGAGATCTCAACATGGCTGCCATGGATTAACTAGACCATCCAACCACAAACATGTTTACTTACTGACACATCTGACTTTAACAGGATGTAGTCCAACTAACAAACTACACAAAGGGAAGTTTAATGTACATTTGCTTGCTTTGAGATATAATCTGTTTAGAGGGTAGGTCAGAGTTTTTAATGTTTCATTGTAGGTCTTTCAGGGCAATTGTTTGATTTCTGGGTTTTTAAAGTGCCAGAACATAGATGGTTTTCTAAGAAAAACAAACAAAAACAAAACACTTATACACTCATTCACCCTAGCAACCACACCAAGCACCCTAACAACCACATAAAAGTGCCCTAAGACCACTTAATAAAAGTGCCCTAACATAAAAGTGCCCTAACAACCCCCAGCAGTGGCCTACAAACACCTTATAAACCTAGCAACTAGCTATCAATCCCTTAAATCCAACACCCTACTAAGCAGCTATCAATAACCTAAAACCATTCAAACACCCTAGCAACCCCCTGGCAGTGGCTAAAAACCACTCAAACACTCTAGCAATGACCTCAAACCACTCAAACACCCTAGCAACCCCTGGCAGTGGCCTAAAACCACCCAAACACCCTAGCAACCAGCTATCGATAACCTAAAACCACTCAAACACCCTAGCAACCCCTGGCAGTGGCTAAAAACCACTCAAACACTCTAGCAATGACCTCAAACCACTCAAACACCCTAGCAACCCCTGGCAGTGGCCTAAAACCACCCAAACACCCTAGCAACCAGCTATCGATAACCTAAAACCACTCAAACACCCTAGCAACCCCCTGGCAGTGGCCTAAAACCCTCCAAACACCCTAGCAACCAGCTATCGATAACCTAAAACCACGCAAACACCCTAGCAACCCCCTGGCAGTGGCCAAAAACCACTCAAACACCCTAGCAAGCAGCTATCAATAACCTAAAACCACTCAAATACTCTAGCAACCAGCTATCAATAGCCTAAAACCACTCAAACACCCTAGCAACCAGCTATCGATAACCTAAAACCACTCAAACACCCTAGCAACCCCCTGGCAGTGGCCAAAAACCACTCAAACACTCTAGCAATGACCTCAAACCACTCAAACACCCTAGCAACCCCCTGCCAGTGGCCTAAAACCACTCAAACACCCTAGCAACCCCCTGGCAGTGGCCTAAAACCACTCAATCACCCTAGCAACCAGCTATCGATAACCTAAAACCACTCAAACACCCTAGCAACCCCCTGGCAGTGGCCTAAAACCACTCAAACACCCTAGCAAGCAGCTATCAATAACCTAAAACCACTCAAATACTCTATCAACCAGCTATCGATAACCTAAAACCACTCAAACACCCTAGCAACCCCCTGGCAGTGGCCAAAAACCACTCAAACACTCTAGCAATGACCTCAAACCACTCAAACACCCTAGCAACCCCCTGGCAGTGGCCTAAAACCACTCAAACACCCTAGCAACCAGCTATCGATAACCTAAAACCACTCAAACACCCTAGCAAGCAGCTATCAATAACCTAAAACCACTCAAACACCCTAGCAACCAGCTATCAATAACCTAAAACCACTCAAACATCCTATCAACCAGCTATCAATAACCTAAAACCACTCAAATACTCTAGCAACCAGCTATCAATAACCTAAAACCACTCAAACACCCTATCAACCAGCTATCAATAACCTAAAACCACTCAAACACCCTAGCAACCCCCTGGCAGTGGCCTAAAACCACTCAAAACACCCTAGCAACCAGCTATCGATAACTTACAACCACTCAAACACCCTAGCAACCAGCTATCGATAACTTACAACCACTCAAACACCCTAAACAAACAACATATCAGCATCTTGGTGGTGAGTTCTTCTACAAAGACATTTTCTTCAGATAAAAAATAAAATCTTATCATGAACACCACTTTAAAGACCTACTAAGATATGTTTGCTCCTTTGGCCAATTTAGTAATAATCTTTTTTTTAAAAAAAATGTATTCATTAATAAAGCAAAAAATAGAATGATTTTTTTTAAAAAGTCAATTTGAGTTTTGTAGAAATAAATACTGTGAATCTGTTAAAAAAGCCTTAAGTGCCTAAACTCAGATCATGACGCTTCTGATATGACAGGAGTGTTTAAACATTCAAGACCTGATATGACTGCTGCTGGCATGGACGTTTTATCAACAATATGCATATACGAGAGCAAGAAAAAGAGATAAGAGAGACAATATGGCCAATGAGTGAAGGGTGAAAGTGAGGAAAAATAGACCAAGGAAAATAATGCATCTAGATCAGAACAAAGTTCAACAGAAGGTCTCGAGTCGGACCTGGATCAAGGTGCCCTTTTATTAGCGTTTGCGGAAATTAAGCACTGGTTGCGGGTGCATACAAGACATCAGTGCATTTCAACCAATCAAATTCCAGGATTAGAACTAGCCATTGTATAATGCATATTTCAGATTGCGTTATCTCGGTTGACAACAGCTCGGATGGAGGTAAACGCTGCCCTTACAAATCTGATCAGGTGACCTCATTGCTTTATTACGATATCAAGTCATCAGTTGAATCATGTTAAATATTAAACAATCTCAGTGGTGAGGTTTAGCTAACCAACAAGCTTGGAAAGAAGAAGCCGAATTAAAAGAGTTTAGCGTCTCGCTCACCTGCACATGGTACTGCGATGTCTCTTGCATGATGACATTGGAGTTTGAGTACTTCTTTCGTTGTTCTGAAAGAAATAAAAATGCAAATAAGACACACTATATTCACAGACTTCCCAGAGGAAAAAGACGCTATCTTGAGTTCCTCTTATGCAAAGTCATTTTTTGACAGACGAATATAAATACTAGTCTAACCTGAGTAGTTCCACATTTTGGTGTAAGGAGCGTCTAGGTCACTTAAGCGACAGAAAAACTGATGAAACACCAGCATTTGCATTACAATCGATTCCATGAAACGCATCAATAAAGTCAGTGATACAATACAAGTCAAAATCGTATGAGAATTCTTACTCTTACCTTTCAAACCAGTGAGTTCAAATGACTACAAATCTGCATTAAACATCTCCATTGTGTTAAAACTCCAGCTGCAATGCTCGAACTGATAGACTTGCGGACAGGAAATGTTCTGACAGGCTGAAATCGTGCTTCGCCTGCCTCTTTTATGCGAGGTCAAAGGTCAAGCCATGTAACACATGTAAACCCTTCCTCCCCCCTCAGTCAATGACTTCAATATCATATCGCTGTTTGTTTTACAGCAGTCCTATAAATCAGCTCAGTGCTGCATGTCGCACGAAACACTCAACTTCACTTTTGCTTCAGAGTCGTACCCAAATTTCAGAGCCCATATGTTGCTCTTTTATTGCTTTTCGTTGCAAACTTTGGTCTCTTTTTCACATTCTTGAGATCTAGAGGAGAAACATGACATGATCGCGGTCTTAGGCAACACTTGAAGACTACAGTAGATGACGCAGTTAGGCATTTAACAGACATATTAAGTTGAGTTCAAGGTTAAAGCGCATAATCAAAGGCGATTCTCTCTTGAAAACATGTTTTAGTTCAGTTCTTCTAAGTAATAATTATAGAGTTGTAGTTCGCCATAATGATAACAAAGTTATGGTGTGTTTAAAATAGTTACAGAAACACCAGTATGGACTGGTGACTGAATGTTTTTGAGGGTTTGTCTCTCACTGGTTGATTCATTCAGATAAGCCGATCAAATGTGATATTGGAAATATGAATGAATCACTGCAGCCATGTCACCCTGTAGCCCAAGACTGGTCATCCACTGAAGGTAAGCAGGCCTGAGCCTGGTCAGTACCAGGGGTGCGTTTCCCGTACAACGACGTAATTCACTGTTTCACTACCATAGTACGATGAATCGTTGGAAAAATCCACTAGCTAGTCACGACTGTTTCCCGAAAACCCACTGTCGCAAAGTATCGTTCAAACACACGTGGTGGAGAAATAACTGCTTTTAATGAAACTGTTTGACATCCAATTAACCCTGGATTTGTTTTATATAAATTACAGACATGCCATCTGAGGACTATTTCTAATTGTTCTCAGTTGTTTTGCTCAATATTTGGCTCGTTCTTACATAGTAGAGCAAGTTCGCACATGCGCACTCTTGTCAAATCTTTTGACAAACTAAACTAAAAGACATAAATTACATTTGTATGTATTCTAAATAAAATGCACCGGTTGTACTGAATGTTAGCTAAATATCTAAATATGTTTCGATCTTCACAGTGAAAAGTAAAACTTCCGAAATATCTGCGTAAACAATGAGTGACGTACACGCGCGAGAGATCACTTTCGCTTTCCGACTTGGACGTGGCTGTGGTCACAAGAGGTAAAAACGATATAAATACTGTTGGTTTTCTCACACAAACCGCTCGTTTCGTGTCTTAGGCCATCAATGTGTACTTACATTTACGAGTCATTAAATCATGTTTAATCTGGACTTCTCTGTGCATGCTCTTCGAGGTGGTGACCATAGACCTCCATTATATGACTGACAGACAAGAACGGTTTGACCTAAAAATATCAAAATTGAAACTACTGCGGAAACAAAGACACCTACATCTTGGATGCCCTTGAGGTAAGATAAAACACACCAAAAATTCATTTCAAAGTGAACTATCCCTTTAAACCGAGGTCCTGACTCTCTGTGGTCATTAAAAATCCCAGGATGTCCTTGGGAAAAGAGTAGGGGTTTAGCCCCGGCATCCTGGCTAAATTTGCTCGAGTCTCGGCGGCCTCCTAATCATCCCCGGACATATAGACCCCTTTTGTGCCTACGTCACGGCGCTAGCTGGAGGCAAAGCAAAGTGAAAACTGGAGGCGGCCAATACGAACCAGCACAGATCAGGCTACATAATAAGGAGCTTAAATTATTATTATTACTATTATTAAATAGCATCTTGTTGTGTTGTTTAGTGCAAGAATCGATGAAAAATGAATATGCTGTATCTGGAGCAAAACAAACACAAATTTTGGCATGCCAATAAAGCCCATTACACCGAAAACTGAAAGAGAGATAGTGTGAGAGAGGGTCATCGCCCTGCGCGAGTCTCTGGGGTTAAATGACCAGAGCTAATCATTACCTCTAAATGAGCACATGTTCTTATCAGCTGCTTTACGGGATCACATATCAGAGGTACACTCTCTCTCGCCCCTCCTCCGTTTATCTCTCTCTCCATCTCTCCAGGAAGTCTTCTTCACACTCTTTCCTGTTGGACGGAGAGAGTCGAGCGGTTTGCGCCACGGCATCTTTGAGTAAGTCGAGCCGCGTGCATGTGTTATTCATGTCTGACATTTACTCCAAACGCTTCACAGCATGTCGACAGCTCACAACCAGCGAGATCTAAACGCCGCACGGGACCGACTCCAGCCTCGCGAGGCCGAGAGCGATTCTGGGTCCGCGATAATTGCGCTAATTTAACCTCACGCCTGCAGTTCACCTGAGATGAACCTCGGAACCTGCTGTCTACATTCGTGCGTTAAAGGCCTGTTCACACTGAGAAAGATAACTATAATGATAAAAATAGTTCGTTCTAAATATTAACCCTCAGATGCACTTCGGTCATTTCTGACCAAAAAAGTTTTGAAATTTTAAAAATCGCAGCTTCATCAGAATGTTACGAAACATGGTGACTTTTATGGCATTATGTATGTGAACAGACAAAAAAATTAGGTCATGATCTGAGCATGCTAAGTGGTCGTAAAAAATAGTCACACTTGTGGTCTTTTTGTCAAAAATGACCCCATAGGAAATGAATGGGAAATTGTAAAAAAAAAAAAAAAGAAAAAAAAATTGTGAATTTTTGTTTTTTGTCAATTTTTTATAAGAAATAGTTTTTGAGATTGTTTCAACTATATATTCAAATCCACCAACAACAACAACAAAAAAAATGTGTTCATAAACAGCTGGGGAATTCACATGCCTCTCCATAGAGAGCTGTACATGCCATCTAGTGGTTACACCATGATTCTACGCTTTTTCTCTATACTGTAACCAGATGGTGCTAATTTTCTTCAAATTTTTTTTTTTTTTCTGAAGGCCTAGACTCTATTTTAAACTAAAATACTGCATTAATATTTTTTTGAAAAAAATAATATATATATAGAAAAATATTAACAAATTCAATTAAATTGTCTCAAAATACTAAATTAAAAAGAATAAATATTATAGAACAAAAATAAATTGCATTGGTTTTACTGGGATGGAGAAAGTTTAATTTTTAGGTGTCTGGTCACTTTTGACCGGTAAGATAACAAGTGTGACTCCGAAACGAGGAGCACCTGAGGGTTAAATTTCACACCACAACTAACGATAACGGCACAGAGGAATGATTTAGCTGGAATCACTTTCAGAGCGATGTTGTTCAGCTGATGAACGATAAAAACATTGACAGCCAATCAGAATCTATCCTGCTTTTAAAGTGACGGACGACAAAACTGCAGCGTGCTTATAATAAACGTTCGCTGACACTAATATCGTTATAGTTATAGCAATCGTTCTGTGCAACTCATTTGTCACTATTATTATTTTGCTTAAGGAATTTCAGGAGAAACATCCAAGGACAAGTTATGTAAGAGCAACTTTTGAGCAGTATTTTACTTTTCCTTTGGGTTTTAAAGTTATTTATTGTCGATTTTAGGTTTGTGTGTAGAGTCAAACAGCATTTACACTTAAGTTTTAGCACTTTACAACATATAAACAGGATGAAAACATGGCCTTCATTTGAAAATCTCTACTCTGGAAACCTTTGACCCTCAAAAACAAACATATTTGCACTCTCTCTCTCACACACACACACACCGTCAGGCCAACCGTTGTCCTAACATGACTGCTGGAGGTCTAGTAACGCTATCTCTCAGCGTCTCTCACCTCGGCGTGTCTCTCACCTGTCTCACTTTCACAATATACACAACTGTCTTTCTCTGTTTGACTCTGTTTGGACTCCATTTAATTTATTGTATGAACAAAACAAACAGAGACATATTTCAACATATCATATTTCAAAAAGCCAAATAGTTTGGAATGACATGATGACGATAGTGTCTATTTTCATGAACTATTCCACTAATTTGTTTTAAATACTCAACCATTCAGTTTAAGTTAAAACAAAGTCGGGAGGCAGCATTTATTTGATCACAAATACAGTGAAACTATTTAAAATAACTCTTTTCTATTTGAATATATGAAGAGTTCAGATGCAAAAGCCTCTAAATGCCATTTGAAATTTTCTTCTTTAATGATGATTTTTATCAAGCTTGTATATTTAAGTTCAGTGATTTCACTTAAATGGCAATGATAATTACCTATTAATTGTTATTTAAGTGAAATTAAGTTTTATAAAAATCATCATTAAAGAAGAAAATTTCAAATGGCATTTAGAGGCTTTTGCATCTGAACTCTTCATATTTGTTAAAAAAATAAAAATAAAAAAGTATTCCTGTGATCATGAATGTTCAGCATCATTACTCCAGTCTTCAGTGTCACATGATCCTTCAGAAATCACTCTAATATGAGGATCTGATGATTATTTCTGCTTAATATTTTTGTGGAAACTGCCATTCGTGTTGTCAGGATTCTTTAATGAATAGCATTTGTTTGAAATAGAAGTCTTTTGTAACATTAAATGTCACTTTTGATCCATTTAATGGAACCTGAAATAAGATAATTAAACATTTCGTGACCCCAACAAGCCCTTTTATGTTTCAACCACCAATAGAGAAACTTTTCACCCATTCCTGAAGTCCTAGCCAACAGTTGAATATCCAATTTCCCCCATAAATACAATCAAAATACTCTAGCAAACAGGAACAGTCCAAATAAACTGTAACCACCAAGACCAAACCTGTCTCACAACCCCTCCAAGTGTCACCTGTCGTGATGCCAATCGGATACGGTGTCCCATCTGGACACAATTCAGGGAACGCCATCTGTTACACATGGACAGCAACAGACACACCTACAAACGTCCAAACACACACACGCTTACAGTTTCAGTCAGAGCACCATTCTAACATGCACAGAAAACGCTGATATATTAAACCACAAGGGCGTCGCTTTGCTAATGAGTTTTGGGTTTTCGCAATGCGGTTGCTTACTGGAAATGTGAGTCGTATGGAGGTAGTGACCTCTAACTACCACAGGCAAAGATCCCATCCATCCATCAAAAAAAAAAAAAAAAAAATAGAAAGGAAAATGGAGAGAAGGTAAAAGCAAATGAGAGAAAAAACTGAATTAACGTATAAGATTAATGTTTAAATGAGTTTAAGAGATGTAACGCTGCCCTGAGCATGAGAACAAATCAGATAAGGACAATACTCAAAACTGAATCACAGCTGACAATTGATGAATTTATTGAACCAAGCTGAATAATGACACCATCCCTGCTAACAAAAATGATCTGTTCCCATTAAGTTATTGCTGAATGCTCTCTGAACGTCCAGTTCGTTACATGTTTTGAAAGGTTACTGTATGTGAACATTCCATTTCATTATTCTTCAAACATTATTAGAACGTTACTTTGGAATGTAAAAAACAGTAAAAAACATTCCATGTGTAAATAATGCTTTTGTGCAGACTTTTGGAAAACATAATTAAAGGTCAGATCTGTTCTTATTTACATTTCTAAAAGAACATTTGCTCATAACTTTACCACAGAATTCCCGATGATTGTCTTCTGAACACTGTAAAAAATTATTTTTTGGTGAATTAAATATAACTATAAATATGAAGAAAAATAACAATGTAATTTACATGAATTAATCAATTCCAATATCCGTACTTAATTCAAGCAAGTAGAAATGAAAGTGTAAATATCAACTCAATAAAATGAAATAAAATGGGTTCCCATCATGCACTGGTCCTTGAATAATTAATGAGGTTGATTTTTCACTGTTTTCCAGCTGTATTTACACTTCTATCGTTGATTTTTGTTGTCAGTATTAGTAACTTGCCATTTTGTGACATTTCGAGTTAATTTTTTGCTCAAAATGACACATTCAAACACAAAAACGGCCTATCAAGTGTTACCGCCAGTGTGTTTGCATTCACATGAGGCTTAACATCTGACATGATGTAATATATAAGTTAGTTACTTAGATGATTAAAGTAAAGCACATAGGCCTACTATAAAAGACTAATAAAATTCCATATTATTGTTTGAGTGAAATGTAATACAAAGGCAAAGGAAATCGATATTAATCAATCTTTTACTAGCCGAGTTAAAATTACTTATTTTTTGTAAAGTAAACTTAATTCCATATTCCAAGTAAATTTAACTTTAAAGATTTCTAATTAAAGCTACTGATAAATATGTTTTGGTTTTTACTTTTACTAGCATTTTCTGAGCGAAAAAAGTTGCCTAGCTTTTTTCAAGTAAGTCCTACGCCGAATTTTTTTCAGTGTAGAGCTGCTTGTTAAATTGAACTCGTTTCATCATAACTTATTAATTTGACACAAACTGTAAAACATGATTTTTCAAAGTTGTATTGGAGTACGTTTTACAATAAATATACTATTTAAGCTTTGCCGTTTCTGCGTAAATAACTGTGAAATTTGCCAATGTGACTATTGTCTTTTTAATGTTGCTTTACACCAAAATATAAATTTGTGTCATATTTGATGACGTTTGCATGATTGATTTTGTCATCCCTATGATTCTGCTTTGAAACAATCTGTTTTGTACAAGAAAGCACTATATAAATAATCAGGCTTGACTTGACAGAGCCGATCAATCTTAACACACTGTTTTTCGCTCTTTTATCTGGTGATGGTGTGATAAGTGTGTGTGGGTTTGAAGCGCTCCTGCTCATTTGCATTGCATGAATCTGGTGATAGATGGGAGATTTTTTTGCATGTGCTGGTTTGGGGGCTGATGGGAAGGGAAGTTAAACCGAGGACACAGTAAAACCAAACCCCCAAAACAGATTTAAAGGCATATGAGCAAACAGAAAGGTGAAACTTTGCAAGAGCATCAGGTTTGTGTGTGTGTGAGCTCTCTAGGCAGGACTAAGTGTCGTCCTATGGGTCATTGCCAGAGTGCAGAACACACACACACATGCTGTGTCTCTTTTGTACAGTAAGTCTCAGGTGCATAAATGCAGACTCACATAAACACACAGATGAATTGCACAAATCTTATAAAGAACATGTCCTAGTCATGTTTCACCCCCAAATCTAATCTATAGACATATAAAATTGTATTTTGCATAAAGAAAATTTGATTTATTTGTAAGGCCATTCAAATCTTTTGCATTGTGACTTTTATGCTATTTTTTTAATAGGTTAGTTCACCCCAAAATTAAAATGATTATATTTAAAGTTATATTTAAAAGAGTTTTGGGGTGAGATTCTGTCTCTCTCGTGTTAGTATTACTGTCCAGCTTCTAAAACTCATCCCTCACCTGTTAATCACCGTCACTGTCTTCTTTACAATAAATGTCCTTTAAGTGTTTGAGCTTCTGAAATGATGAATGTAATTCAGTGTAGGAAGGCTCTCTCTGGCCTTGCCCTCTCTTACTTTCTTTCTTGTTTTCTCCAAAGCTCAAAAGCCTCTTTTATGTGCATGTCAGACCGGGTCGAGCACACGCCCCCTTTTTCCAGACACACCCGACTGGGCACAGAGGCAGACTGTGTGTACACTTACTCCGAGACGCACACCCCCGGAGACACACACACACACCTGGTCGTCATGACGGCAAGTGCATAATAAACACCCTGCTTTATGCGCTCTTTTAAAGTTGTCCATTACTCTCAATAAAAAGGGACATTTAGGTCAATATAAAAATAGATATCTGCTCAAAGCTTTTTTATTGGCATGGTTCCATGAAGGACCTTTAACATCCATGGAACCTTTTTATTGGATAAAAGGTTCTTCATAGTAGGAAAAATGTTATTTAGAATAGATCAGTAAATGTTCTTTCGTCCAAATAAAAAAAACAGTTCTTTTTAGAATATTCACTGACGGTTCTTTTGGGAGCCAAAAATGGTGTTCTATGACATCACTTCCTTTTGGAACCTTCGGAAGAGAGTAATTAAAGTAAAATATGTAAAACCTTCCATTCCACGACGGATCTGATTGGTTGTTGCATTTAAAGTCGTCGTAAAATAAGTTATACACAAATCTGTAAATTGACCAATGGCTAAGCCCCGCCCCCTCCACTCACTCGGACACACAGTCAGCATTCGGGGACAGGGGCTATGTCAGCAGTCACAGTATAGGAGACATTCACAGGAGGCAATTGGTGATTTTCTGAATCACCAAAAAGTCGCAGTTGCATGCACCCCATTGCACCATTTTTAACTTAAAATGACAAGAAAAAAAAAACGAATGAAAACTGACAAACTGCAATGCATTTCAATGGACGTGGAAGCAGAGAATGTCCGAGTGTATTGGGTTAGCTGAGCGCTGTGATTGGCTCATCGCGTTTGAGGGCGTGGCTTAGGTCAATTGAAGTCTACATTAATGCTTCAAAGCAAATCAGTCACACCAAAAGTAAAATACACCGGAAGAAAATCGTTCCCATTATAAGTGATTTGTCCGTCACTCGTGACCTCAATAGTGTGAGGTCAGTCTGAAATGTCCTTGCGCACTCATTTGATAGGCAAACGTCTGATTGTTGTGGTTTATCTGAATCGCAGCGAGGCCTGTGAGTATGTGTGTGTGTGATACACATGCAAATGTCCTACAGTGCGATTCACACGCTTGCATATCGTACAGAGTGCCTTTTTTAAGGAAGCAGGAAACAGGATGTGATGTCATAGAAGGGGGAAGAGCCATATAAACACACATGCAATAAACCACATAAACATTGGGACTTATTTATGAAGGTCACAGTGATTGAACATTTCCGTCAGAAAATGTCCCTAACCCTACCCAGGGGTTATCCCTCAAATCAGACCGGTGAATAACACCGATGTAGGAGCATCTAATCCTGCTGAAATCAGGTTCACCATTCAGGAAATACAAGCAGAACAAACAGAATGGCGCTTGCAACTCAAATGTCATGGGTTCAATCCCCAATGAATGCAAGAACTGATAAACTGTATAGCTTGAGTGCAATGTAAGCATCAACCAAATGCATGAATATAAAAAAGAAGTATATATATATATATATATAAAAAAAAAGTATTGGTTTGTTTAATTTCTTACCATGGCAACTTAATAAAATGCATTTTTACTTTTTTATTTTTTTAATGTACAAATAAATGTGACGTTTACTTACCAAACAGGGTCTTGGCACTGATCTTGCTGTCCGATCTGGCCACCCCACTGCAAAGAAGAGCAGATGAGGATGAGGAGGGTGGCGGACGATGTCTGCTCTTCATCGCTGTACACTATTTAGTTTTGATTGAAATGTTTCTAACGGCACACACTCGCTGCACTGGTCTAAAGTGAACGCTGCATGTTTGAGACTGAGATCTACAGGTTGTGAGAGCATAGGCAAGTGAGGAAAGAGGTATGAGCAACACACACACACACACACACACACAGGCTGTTTCCAACAGGGCAGGAAAGCAAACATTCCCAAACAGTGCAGCTCTGTTAACTAAGACTGTAACATACACACACAATCTCACCAAAAAAATCACTAACTACAGGATGTTTGGCTAGGTGTGTGTATAGGTCCCAAAAAAACATACATTTCATTTTACATGCATATAATGCCAGAAACACGTTATTTGAAAGTATTTGAAAGTACCAATAATGCAGTGCAAGCTGGGTGTGTTTAACGAGAGCATGTTTCGTAAAATAGATCACTATGCAAGTTATTATTTTGAAAAAGTATCATCAAAACATTTTGTTTTATTAACTACAATAAAAAAATACATGTACGTATTACTAATTTAATTATATATATATATATATATATATATATATATATATATATATATATACACATGAAATACGGTATGAAAAAATATGTAAAAATACAGTCTTCGTATTTATATAATTCAATGTTGAATGGTCTGATTTAAAACGTTCAATTTAAATGTAGCTAAAACTGTATTTAAACAATAAAATATGAACAACTGATTTTGGAAAAACAAATCCACTCTAAAAAATGCTGGGTTGTTTTAACCCAAATTTGGGTCAAATATGGACAAACCCAAATGTTGGGTTAAAAATGTAGAGTTGAAAGTGAAAGTTGAAGTTTTTGCCCAACATTTGGGTTTGTCCGTATTTGACCCAAATTTGTGTTTAAACAACCCAGCGTCGTTTAGAGTTTAGTGAATTATAATTCTGCTCAGTGGTCTAGGGGGCGATGTCTGTTCTATTAAACCGGGTCCATTGTAATCAAGGTAACTAGATAAATGACATAACGAAATATATTAACTTTACTGCATCATTTATTGACCGTGCATTGAGTACTTGCATTGTGTTGTGAAATGCGACAACATACACTCTAAAAAATACTGGTTTTTAACCCAAATTTGGGTCAAATATGGACAAACCCAGCCTTTGGGTTAATTTTTAAATTTGGGTTTGTCCATATTTTACCCAAAATTGGGTTAAACCAACCCAGCATTTTTTAAATGTGTATAAAGAGCTTCTCCGTTCACGTGACGTAACTGTGTGTATTGGAGCGCGAGACTTACTTGCTTGGTTTTGTTGGGGTCCCCAAAACATTCATGTTCTACGACATCCACCTGTAACAGAGAGCGAATACAGGGTCACTGACACGGCACAGCAATTACAGTCAATCCCTGTATTTTGTCCTATAATAACTTCCCACAGGGTGTGTCTGACCTGTGTGAATAGAGCAGTAATTCACTAATGACTCTTAATTTGAATAATTTGAGGCTGGTTCAGTCCTGCATCATCACTTAAATTGCCAGCTAACTATGTCTTAATCTCTCGCTAAACACCGAGCTATTTTTGTTTTCCACGTCTCCACTTCTCTCTTTCAAAGGCCTTTCCATTGTTTCTTTCTTTCTCTGTCCTGGCCGCTGTGAATAATTCATCTCTGTGTGACTCTTGAGGCACAGGACTCCTTTGAAGAACGGTAAGACTGTCTGCATCCATTGGCTCAGCTCTTGAACAATAAATACAAACAAGTCATTCCAAACCAATGGAGGTTCAAAAAACAACTTCGAATCACCCCAACATGACTTTAAACTATCCAGTTTTCCTAATTTGAGTAGAACATTATTTAGACGTTAGCATAACGTAAAAGACATCAAAACTGAAGTTTTTTAGCATATGTGTCTAGTGTGCTCCAAAACAATGACAAAATTCGCATTTAGAAGATACAAGCGTTTAAAACTTACAGTCTCTCACTACTAATATGGATCAATGATTTTGAGGACATCATGGTGCACTTCAGCTTCTCGCCAGATTCTGTCCAATCAAATGATCTCTAGAATCTGAAGCTCCGCCCCCTACATTATAAACAGAGGCTGAAGCTGCGGCTGAAATCGGTCACTTGTTCACACATCTACTATTTTCTACATGGTGAATATTACAGTGCACTATATAGGGGATAGGGAACGATTGAGATTATTTGAAATGTGCTTTCCATTGGGGCGAATGAAGTGTGGGACTTTCATCCACATTATTTGAACTATTGAAATGTATCAAATGGGAAAACAAAATCCAACAAATGTCGTATCAAGATCGTTTTTTCTCTCATTGTGAGAACTTGCATCAAATATTAATAACAACAAAAAGACGTTCCAATAACGTCCTCTTACACGTCTTTCTACACACACTCTAAACAATACGTGGGTGTTTCAACTCAAATTTGGGTCAAATATGGACAAACCCTAATGTTGGGTTAAAAATGTAATTTAAAAAATGCACAGTTGAAAGTGAAAGTTAAAGTAGGGTTAAAATTTTTAAATGACATTTTTAACCCAACATTTAGGTTTGTCCATATTTGACCCAACAAACAACCCAGCATTGTTTAGAATGCAGTCTTCCTACACAGTAAAACTTTTTAGATTATTGGAGTAGGTTTTACTCAAATCACGTTTAATTCAATGTTACTTGCCGTTTCTTTGTACACACTCTAAAAAATGCTGGGTTGTTTCAACTCAAATTTGGGTCAAATATGGACAAACCCTAATGTTGGGTTAAAAATGTAATTAAAAAATGCACAGTAGAAAATGAAAGTTAAAGTTGGGTTAAAATTTTTAAATTCCATTTTTAACCCAACATTTGGGTTTGTCCATATTCGACCCAAATTTGGGTTGAAACACCCCAGCACTTTTACAGTGCAGTCTTCCTACACAGTAAAACTTTCTAAAAGTTGTAAATAAAACAAAGATTATTGGAGTATGTTTTACTCAAATCGTGTTTAATTCAATGTTACTTGCAATTTCTTTGTGCACACTCTAAAAAATGCTGGGTTGTTTCAATCCAAATTTAGGTCAAATATAGACAAACCCAAATATTGGGTTAAAATGTAATTTAAAATTTTAACCCAACTTCAACTTTCACTTTCCAACAATTGGGTTTGTCCATATTTTACCCAACCCAGCATTTTTTAGAGTGGATCTGCGACATTTACAAGCAATTCCTTTCTCTAGTGTGTGGAACGCCTCACTAAGCCTGTTTTAACACACAGCACTAGGGGTGTGCTGAACCGCAGTGTTGTTTTGGTCGTATCTGTCCGCTGTCCCGTAAAGATGCTGGACCAGACAACAGCAGGCTGGCAGACCAGCCTGAAACAAGACCTGCCTCTCCTCGGGACACACACATTTTTCCTAATTAATTACACACTCTGAGGCTTTACACACTTAACTGTGCATTCTGGATCACAAAGGAACCTTTGCATGTGTGTGTGTGTTTATAATATGCATTTAAAATCTATAAAGTACATCCACCTTAAATGAAAGGTTAGCGGGTCTGAAATGTCATTGTATAATTCACACACTGACATCATCAGCTGAGTTGATGTGGACTATAGACTAAAGGAGATGTGATACGAAAAACACGTACACTCAATCATAACAGTATATGCCCATCATAGACGTATAACCATAAGTCATATAAGTTTCAGAAAGAGATGAGGATCAACATAAAAGGACTTTGAGCTCGTGTTCCTGGAGTCAGCCTGTTTTAAGATCCCTGAGGAAGGTGTGTCAGAGGTTCAGGAGTGAATTACTGAATGAAGCGGTCATTTCCTCATCATGAACCATTTATTGTTGTGTTTGGATTGTCAAAATATACTACTATTTCTACAGTATGCAGAAACGCCAATTTTCTGCATGCATGTAATACCTGGAAGATGTAAATTTACCAAAACGTGCACACTGTAAAAAATAAACCGTAAATTTTACGGTGAAAAAACGGCAGCTGTGGTTGCCAGAACTTTACCGTTAAAAATACGGTAGGAACGTTAATGGTTTAACAGACTTGACTTAAAATATACAGTAATAAACCGTAATTTATTTTCTGATAAAATGTGAATTTACTAACTTATTGATGTGTTTATACCATTGTAATACACTGACAACCATCAATCATCACAGCAGTGATGAGAGTTACATGAGCAATCACAGCTCATCACAAGTGAATACTTGTATAAAGCAATACTTAATTAAAGAAGCTGCACAATGTCATTCACACAAACATTAAGCACCATCATGGTAACACACATGAAATCTAAAAAATGCAATAAACATTAATTTAACAACATATAACCCTAATGTACATAACTGATTAGAAAAAAACAACAATAAAACTATGAGGAACCAGTTATTTCAACAAAAATATATAAAATGTGAAGCGTCACACAGGGAATTGTCGGAAAGTCAATTTACGGTTCTTCACTGTAAATTATACAATGATTTGTTCTTTTTCACTTTCAAAAACTGTAAATTTAACGGTATTTTACTGTAAAATTATATCACAGTTATTTACCGTGTATAGTACGGAAACTTTCTGTTTACCAATTAACAGTTTTGCACTGTAGCATTTTTACAGTATTTTACCGTTAAAATCACGATTATATTTTACAGTGCAGTATTCAACCAGAGCGGTAATGCATCCAACGATGCATTTTCAGAATCAAAAGCAAAAATCACCTGCAATTTTCCACAAATACTCATTTACAGAAAATCAGATTGAAACCCGGAAAATTAGAATATTGTGCAAAAGTTCATTTATTTCAGTGATTCAACTTGAGATATATTTTAATGTGAGATTTCAAGCCTTTATTTGTTATAATTTTGATGATTATGCTATAGCTGTAAGCCATAATCATCAAAATTATAACAAATAAAGGCTTGAAATATCTCATTTTTCATGTAATGAGTCTATGTAATATATTAGTTTCACATTTTTAGACGAATTACCGAAATAAATGAACTTTTGCACCCTATTCTAATTTTTTGAGTTTCACCTGTATATGCAATGTAATGAGGTCATGTGACAACAATGCAGCAGCTGTTTGAAAAGTTTACTATGGTACACTACCTGCTGTTTTGCATGATATTTTTAAAATCATCAGACAACATGCAGTACACAATGCACAAGTACAGTAGGATTAGACTCCAACCACAGACAGTCTGCAAGTACAACGGGTTCCTGGATCCTGGAACAACATTCCAATCAACCAATCAGATTTGAGGGACACGTTTACAGTTTATGGCGCGTTTAAGCTTACAACTAGCTTTAGGCGCTTCTACATCAGGTCATTTCCTTCTGATTTTAGGTACAATCTAAAATGCTGGGTTGTTTTAACCCAACTTTGGGTCAAATATGGACAAACCCAAACGTTGGGTTAAAAAAGTAATTAAAAAAAATAACCCAATGGCTGGGTTTGTCCATATTTGACCCAAAGTTGGGTTAAAACAACCCAGCATTTTAGAGTGGGATTCCCGCGGTTATGTCGATATAAATGTCTCATTCTAAGAAAATAAAAACTTTACGGTTTATTAAGTTCTATATACACCACTGAAAACATAGTTATGGATGTCTGTTAATAGATACTCAACTTTTTTACACATTGCACCTTTAATTTTCAAAGATAACTCAAAACAAATGCAGAGAAGAAGACGATAAAATCAATAAAGGTCTATGGTATGTCCTTATTTAGATAGCTAGTCAAGTGTGTGTGTGTGTATGTAAATGAGTGCCTTTATGAGACAGATTGCAATGCTCTGGTTTTATTGCAGCACACAGCTGCGCATCCAGAGCTTGTTATCTGGGGTGTATCTCTTATCCTGTTGTTTTATTCATTGGCTGTAATTTGGATGATATCTGGTATCACTGGGATTGTTCAGAGAAAACAAAACTGATGCTGTGAGCCTAGACATTTAAAAAGTACCACAAAACTGTTGATTGTCAACATTAAACATTTACTTGAACAGCAATAAAACGAGAAGTGTGTGTTACCAGCAAAAGGATTCAGTAATGCTCTTCTTCACAATTCAGCTTCACTTGCTTGGACACGTTCTTAGTCAAAACTCAAAACCAAATAAAAGCAAATGACCATTCTTTGTTTTTACATAATGAACTGATAAAACGCCATTTGGTCAAAGACATATGTGTGTGAAGAGCCTCAAACTATCACTCATCAAATGTTCTCTGTCATCCACACACACACAAATATAAATAAATAAATCAGATACAGTGCAAACAACGGTTTACTTCCAATATATACTTTGATTTACTTTCCAATCATCGTATGTCAATAAATGCCAGCTACTGTCGATTGTTGCTTTATGAATAAAAGCAATCATCTGTCCATTACCAGTCCATTCAACTCAAAGAGAAAGAACGAGACAAACAAACACACACTACAACAGATCACTTAAGCCAGACAATAAACCGCCTGCTTTGACCAATCAGAGCCTTCGCTATGACATTCAACAGGCTACTTTACTTAGAGTCACACAAACAGTAGAAGTTGAGTCCCTTTGCAATGAATGACCTGAAAATCCTGAACCTTAAGCAAAAACACAAAGACTGTTCAGAACATTCAGAACAACACACTTATGTAAGCTCTGAGCATAAGCATTTGACTATCTGATTCACCTACATCCGCCGAACACAACGGGGATGCTATTCAGGGCTCGGACATTCCAATATATATATATATATATTTGGTCTTTTTTTTTTTTTTTTTGGAGAAATGCTAATGGTCTTGTGCACTTCAATGATCTATGCTAAGCTATGCTAAAAGTGGTACCACCAGAACCGGAGATTGGCTGAATGGATTCAAAAATGGTAAAACTCAACAGTTTAACTCTGGGGGAGTTGTAAAATGAGCCTATTTCCCAAAAAAGTGGAGCATCCCTTTAACAGAACATTAATTTAAAAGTTATGAGGTCTATAATAATGTTCTCAAAAAGTTAGCACAAAAACATGATCTAGCATGACTAGCGTGGCTACATCATTCATGCAAAAAATAAATAAATAAATAAATCCCATAATGTTTCCTAAATAGAATGATCACTTACTGTAATGTTCACATATCCATATAAAAACGTTTTTTAAAAACGTGTAAATATTATCTACACATCGTTTATGGAACCTTTTTTTCTAAAAGGTTTAAAGTAACATTTTTAAATGTTACCACTTGTTTCAGAATTTTAAGGGAACATTCAAAAGTAACGGAATGTTCGCAGAACCAAGATTTCAAATCTTTAGAACGTTCATTTCCACAACTTAATGGGGACGTTAGCAAAATGTTAGAATGTATTTTTGATAGCTGGATACATTTCAAATTCAACACCTTTCATCACTAAAAATGCTAAGGATTAAAAAGAAAAGCAAAGATTCCCCAAAGAGATTGTTGATTATAAACAAAGAAATATATACTGCCTCACACCTGCATCAACCATAAGTGTGTTGGATGAAATTACCTTATAAATTAGAAAAAAAATGCATTTCAATGAGCAACATTTCAGTCAAAAGGTCTGTGTGTTTGGGTGTTTACAAAAATAATTGTACAAAAAAAAAAAACAAAAAAAAAAACAGGTCCCCATTGACTTCCATAGTACTGTATGAAAAAAAATAATACAATGGAAGTCAATGGGGAATATCAACTGTTTGTTTACCGACAATATTGATTGTTCTTTTGTGTCCAACAGAAGAAAGAATCTATAACAGGTTTAGAACAACTCAAAGGGTTGACCGGGTTTTCATTTTTGGGGGACTTGTTCGGGTTAACATTAAAATGTGTGATGCAAAAACGCACCGTACTGGTTGGACATTATGTCAAAGGCATCTCATGTTTTCTCAAGGTGAATTTAAATGGCTGCTCTCTTTAAACCTGGTTTATACAGACTTCACGCTCTTTGACTCACGTCCTGTGGTATTTGACACACCTGAGCGGATGAATGGACTGGCATTTTGAGGCCGTTCCAAAATCCTTTCTCACAACGTCTCTATTTAAGGCCGCGTCACACACCTCCACCACTCCTGAACTAGTTTTTAACCATGAGCGCTCATTGTTGGTTCCACCCACTCCATCTTTCATTTGGGGTTTAGCTTTGTTTGTAGGCTGCTTTGTTTAATGACCACAGTTTGCACTTGTTGATCTGCATTTCTCCAGTCCTGTAATCAGGAAATTATTGCTTTCACGTCAAATCACATTAACAGATTGTGTCGACGCAATTGCAGAAGACGGCAAACAAGTTTCACTGTTGATTTAAGCTTCATATTTTCACGTCTCGTAAAGTTTTGAGTCTCTGAACCGTGTGCATTCAGCAACCTGATCTGACGCTAATCTATCACTGCATCAGAGTCCAGTTCCCTGTATCCGCTACACACCGCAAAACCTGCCAAAGTTGCTCTTTTATACCTCAAGAGACTTAAATGAGACTCAAATTTTGTCTCAGATTTTCCTCCTAAAATGTATGAGGAGAAATAAAATGGGAATTGTTGTCATAATGAGCTATAAAATGAATGTGGATTGAGGAAACTCTCCATCTGACTCCAGTCTTAATTCAGGACATTAAAAGTGTGTCATCACGAGAATATCAGCGTTTACGGTTAGTGTGTGTGACGTGTCAATGAGCAAAGTCTAGAGTTCTTGAAAAAACATTTGTGTTATTACATTTAAGAGGGTATTGTCAGCTATTCTTGAATTGAAATTGTTCATTTTTAATACTAAAGAAACCGAGTCATTTCTCAACAGTTATATGTGTACTCTAAAGTCAAAGATTGTCTCGCTGTGGTGGTGTCACGGTTGACCGGCTGTTCACCACAATGACGTCTGCATGCATGATAAACACACATCAGCGTTTACAGCCCAAAGGAATCACTGGGGATTTGGAAACGTGTGCAAAAATCAGGCTCTCGACAGACATGATCTTCATTAGAAAAACCAAAACAACATCTGCCAAGAACAACATGACAGGTTTACTATCGGTCGGCAACAACGTGCACGATTAAAATATATTTTTATTATTCTAATTCAATTCCTGAATTTGAAAGGAGGTACACTCTTAAGTACTGCCGTAGTAAAACCCTTAGAAAAACAAGTTTAATCAAGTGTGCTATTAGTATACTTCTTTTCGACTAATAAATAAGAAAGTCTATGCACTTCTCAGAAATATATTTAACAGAAAAGTAGAAGTATATTCGGCCTACACTTGTACTCCATCTTTTGATCGGGATATACTTAATAGTACAATTAAGTGTACTTGGCTTTACTCTTTAGACTGAGTAGCCTATTTAAGAAATATTTTCACACTTATAAAAGTAAAGAATTTTTTTGAGTCTTATACACTTAAATTGTTTAAAGATGTGGATTCATAAAGAAAACAAATATGTTCTTAATATTTAGTATGTGAATTTTTGTGTAGGATAGTCCATTGGTAGTGTACATAGTGATTGACTTCTACTTAAAGTAAATGTATATTTCAAATGTAAAAATTAATTATCTAAATAGGAATCTAGTAATATAATTATTATATTCACAACTATACTTGCAGTATAAACCTACTCAGTTGTAAGTCGCTTTGAATAAAAGCATCTGCTAAATGGCTAAATGTAAATAAAACTACTAAACTAGTAGTTTACTGAGAGTAAAGTGTTACTTGCTATAACTATTGGTTTATAACTAAGTGTACAGACGTAGTTGTGTACTCCAACTCTACTTAAAAGTATGCTTTTATACACTAAAAAGTGGGCAAATTTAGTCCCAAGTTGTATTGAAATAGTACACTTCCTAGTGCATTGATATTAGTACACTATACATAAAGTACACCTTAATACTATTATTAAGTATACTTAATAAAATAAAATTAAAGTATAATTGTTTTGTTTTTTCATGCATGGAAACTTCCTATTCTACTAAATGTTCTTTATAGTGGAAAAAAATTATTTTGATTATGAATTATAATAAATTTAACTAAATCTAATTGTATCAATTAGAAATCGAATTTAAGGCAGCAGAATAAAACAGAAAGTGTAGTTAGTGAGAGTATTTACTGTAAATACATATCAGGAAATGGGCAAAATGAGTCACGATTAATACTGTGATTATTTTGTGTAAATAAGAAACTTCCTGTTGTACGACTCTCTGAATTGCAATTCGCTAAATTAATCTTCCTATACCACTTTTATTCAGATCAATTCAATGCAAATCAAACTCTAAAATGAGCTTAGCTTGATGGACAGTCACTGAAACATGCATGAACACACAGAACTGTCAACCTGCGAATATCTTCATGACCACCTCGGTTTCCCAGCAAACGTGCAACAACAAACCACCCACGTTTAGAAAGAGTCCCCGCCGTCTTTTGGTGAGGAACACGATATGGCATTTAGTTTGCTTTCACTTAGGTGACCGAGCAAAAACAATCAGCCTGTGATGGGAGCGTCTTCGCTGTTGTGTATTGTGCTCGGTTTAGTAAATGTATTCGTCGATGTGGGAGGAATACAGCGAATAATCGATTAAACGGTTTGTGTGACCACAGCCAGCCTGAATAAACCAGAGATCTGTGCGAGCTTTAAAAGCTATAAACAAAACCGTCAAGCGCCCAAGACCATTAAGCTCACCTTTATTGACTTCGGTAAATGATGTAATGCCTCCTCAAACAGATCATGTCAGCAGGACCAAAAAGCCTGAGTGCCAGCTAAAGACTTTTATTCCCCACCTGTAATGATGATGATGGGTTTCTGTGTTTGTCTCGTATTGTGATCGTCGGGTAGCAGAAGGACAGACCAGAGTAACAACAGGGATTGTTTGCCAGATGGAAAGGTAAAAGTTTCGATTTGTGATTGATGGAGGACTCTCACTTGCTGTTGTTGGAAAATGTGGTCGCGTCTGCCTGGAACTTATCCTGATTATGCCCAAAGGAATATAAAAACAACACAACACGTGATCTGCTTATCATTCCAAATATTGTCAGTCAACATGCGATATAACCAGATAAATATGGAAATTATTGTATCGCTGATTCTTGAATACAGTGAACACCAATAAACCTCACTCCCCTGGCAAGACCCGGTTCGAATCCGGCTCGGAGCAGATCCGGTAGGACCGGATGCAATTGGTGCCGTGACCCGGATGGGAGTGCGGTTTAAGGGGGTGAGTGTAACACAACTAGGATATCATGCTCTTAAAAATAAAGGTTTGAGGGTTTTCACAGCAATAGAAGAAGTTTGAAACTTTCAGTGAACATTCTAACTTTTTTTTTTTTTTTTCGTAGGGCCAGATTAAACAATTAGCTAAACAGGGCAAATTAACGTTCGAGCGCATTTCCATGCAAGTGTAAAGATCTGCGCGTGATCCAGTGATGACGTGCAAATGAAAGAAGACAGACTCAACCGGATCATTTCCATAATGACCAACTCAAACTCGAACAGAGAATCTGCTGCGCAAATTAGCGTCTGTTTTTTTTTTGAGCGTTAAATAATGGCGCAAATCTTAGTAAATTGACGAACGCAAATCTTAGTAAATCACCTTGCATGATTCATTTAAACTCCCTCCTCCCAAAAATTTTGCATATGAAGGGAAACTTCAACAAACGCACAATGCAATAAGGTCAGCCACAAAAACAACCCGGTGCACAGCACACCCTTTCAGCGCTCATTTTTCACTGTGTGTCTTTAACGCCAAACGAGGGTTTGCGCTGGAGCAAGCAGTGTGATGAACATTTTAAACATCTAAAGGACCTCCTTTTCCCAAAGAACTTTCTGAGGAATGGAAAGACGAAAACTTCTTCACCATCAATGCCACTGTGTTAGCACTGATTATTTTATTAGGCTATTAGGCTGTTTAACTTGCTCAGAGGTGTTCACCAATGATTGCATGCAATAAATGAATGAACTGACGGACGGACCATTTGTTGCATTGTGTTTGCAGTAATAAAAGTTCACCACAATACAAACCCAATGTCACGGGTTGTCTTTAATAGCCCAAACCTAGACATTAAACATTAATATAACAACACTCTGTTGACAAAGACAAAGTCTCATAGACGCATAAGTCCTTAAAGCCTTATGATCAAAAGCACGTATTTGCGTTGCCTCTCATATTTGTAGAGAAATGCAAATAAGAGACGCTTCTAACGCGACGCGTATAACGGGAGCGTTCGGGTTCAGACGCGTCGCGTCATTCTCAGAGGTGACGGTGGGTGTTGATAAAGCTGATAAAGGTAAAGCTCTTACCCTTTCAGCTGAGAGAATCTAAGATCCAGTTGTTCAGTTCGCCGATAATTCCTCTCGTTTCCAAAACTCCTGAGGTAAACTCTTCCTCAAGACTCCATCTCAATCTGTTTACTCACAGAAGTGAACTTTGCTCCAAACACGATGCGAATTGGGTAGCCAAGGAGACCTTGCTGACACAGACAAAAATGTAAAAACAAAATTTAAAAGTGACGACAAAAGGCCAGAAAGACGCGACAGGTGCGCTGGAGCGCGAGTGACAGGTGATTCGCGCTCGTAACTCTACCTGCAGCGCGAGAGGGGGCGGAGCCTGCGTATGAACGCATGCACCTTTAATGCAGTCTTACTGGAACAGACACAAAACATAATCAGTCATGGAGTATTTATAGAGCTTCAGGCTGTGGCTTTAAAAACAAACAAACAATTTAATAGTCATTTTTTTCTATTGTAGCCTACACATTATGAACGGAATGTTCACATAAAAATATCCTCACTTCTCTGATGATGCTTTTTGGGGAACGCCTGGAGGTAACACCCTGTTAATAATAATTAAAAACAAATTTTGCATTGAGAATCACAAAAATTTAAAACAACAAAGACTATTTGAGGCAAACAATATTAATAGTGAACTGAAATTAAATCATTTTATACACACAAAAAATATTGATGGTTTAACTTAAAAAAGTTCATTGAACTGGAAAAAGTGAGTTAATACAATGAAGGAGATTAATTTAACCATCAGAAACTCAAAATTATATGTTATCTGAACTAAATAAATTATTTAAGTTGATTTGACAAAAGAAAAAATGTTGTGATTACTACACTGTAAAAAAATATTGTTGGTTTAACTTAAAAAAGTAAGTAACCTGGGTTGCCTTAAAATTTTAAGTTGATTGAACTGGAAAAAGTGAGTTAATACAATGAAGGAGATTAATTTAACCATCAGAAACTCAAAATAATAAGTTATCCCAACTAAATAAATTATTATAAAGTTGATTTGACAAAAGAAAATATGTTGTGATAACAAATCTTGAAAATATTTTTTACAGGCTGAATTAGAAAACATTGGGAAAATTGTTGCATCACACAATGCATTTATGTAATTCCTCATGACATAGAAAGTAATTTATTTGACTGCAAATGCTTTAAAATTAAGTTTACTTACTAAGGAATGAGAATCAAATTTGCTGCTTTTCTCCAAATCAAAACCATGCAAAATAAAACAAAGATTACTGGAGTGTGTTTCATTAGAAAATACAATTTAAAAAAAATTTTAAAAAAAGCTGCTGCCTTACATTTTTAAGTACAATCGACTTGAATGTTTAAATCATTTTTGAACTGACTTTTAAAAACATTAGTTGAATCTTGTATAACATCAACTAGATGAACTTATTTTGATGACTTATGTTGTCATTACTTGTTAATCCTATTTTTGTTTTTCTGTGTACTTCTGTGTTCATGCAATTATAGCTGACTGAACATTCCTGGCTGAAATCACACAACCTCTGTGTTCATCACAGAACAAGCATGGCATCCTGTGGATTTTGTTTAGGGGTGTAAGCAAATTCCTGGTCCTGGTCCAGTTGTGTAACCTTGTATGATCAAGGAGAGGCATCTTCAAAGAACGCAGTGAAAGAAGAGCAACGGGCTGGAACATTGCACAGGTTTGGATGTCACTATAAGCACGACTCGCCCTGCAAACATGATGAGTGTAAAATCACGATGGGCTTTATTTAAGAATAAAAATGTCACCATTTGCTCACACTCACATCGACACACCCGTAACAATGAAAGTGGATGGGGACCAGCTGTCAAGCTCCGAAAGACTATTCTATATAAAAGTACTATACATCCACTAGTCATGCAACAGCTTAGAAATAGACCAATGATGTTATTTAATAAAATCTTGCATTACTTGACATCTGTGGTCACAGTGAAAAGAGCTTGGATGGTAAATAACTCATTTTTGTTCTATGGAGAGAAAAACAGACATTATAAAGTATGGGAAAATTTATGAGAAACTGTAAACAGAAAGACTTGACATGCAGACCAGTGTTTGATTTTGAGAACCTTGAGTTTTGGTTTATAATTAACACCAGAGGACAGAACTATGACACACTATGAAACGTTCACTTTCTCCGGATTACCTAGACTACTGAAAGAAGCAAAAACTGTTAAACATTAGACACTAAACTGCACAGACGAATGACTTCTCGAAGGGTGATAAATTCAGAAGCAAATGACTTTGTTTGGGTTTGCTGGAACTGGGAATTCGAGCAACTGTTTGCAAAGTTGACTGTAGGGCACTGCCATGATTTCACTCACTCAGGAAAAACATTTTAGCGTGATAAAGAAGAGATTTAAACCGATAAACCCTTCACGGTAAAACCTACGGAGGCGTATTGCATTCACTTGAAGAAAAAAAAATCTACTCTGTTTTTCTGAATTAACGAGTTAATTTTTCATGAGAAAAAAAAATTTGCTCTGTTTTTCTGAATTAACGAGTTAATTATTCATGAGAATTTTTTTTTTGCTCTGTTTTTCTGAATTAACGAGTTAATTTTTCATGAGAAAAAAGTTTTTCTCTGTTTTTCTGAATTAATGAGTTAATTTTTCATGAAATTTTTAATTCAGAAAAAACAGAGCAAAAACTTTTTTTCTCACGAAAAATTAACTCATTAATTCAGAAAAACAGAGAAAAAAATATTTTCTCATGAAAAATTAACTCATTAATTCAGAAAAACAGAGAAAAAAAAATTTTTCTCATGAAAAATTAACTCATTAATTCAGAAAAACAGAGCAATTTTTTTTTCTCATGAAAAATTAACTCATTTATTTTAGAAAAATAGAGTAGATTTTTTTTCTTCAAGTGAATGCAATACGCCTCCGTAAAAACCTGTGCACACGATAGGTCTAAATCTGAACAGACAGTGAACAGACGCCCTCTACTGGAGGAACTAACAAGTGCCAAAACGCTGAATCAGTCAAAATACAAACACAGCAACAACTCGAATTCATAATAAAAGGTTTTCCCTTTTTTTTTTGTTGACTATGATGAAATATAAGAAAAATATATGTCATTTTAAAATGCCCTTTTGTAAAAACACTTAAACCAGTCAAAACCATAGTTGTGTGTTTATATTGAGAATTATACAGGTTAATATATAATTCGGATAATATATAAAATAATACTTATATAATATATAAAACCCAGACAATACAGGGCTTATCTAATGCCTTATCTAATTATTTTGAAGTTTTATTTTAAAAACATAAGTCTTGAACATTTTATTTTATTGATGTGGCTGAACGGGAATCCTGGCGAGTGTTTGTGTCCGATGACGTCATAGGCGCGTTGGAACAAAACTTTCGTGGATTATGAGCAGTCGTCGCAGTGGTCGAGAGTGGTTTTTCACAGCGATGGCACAGCGAGGTTGTAAAGTGAGTCCGATGATTGGCGAGGTCACAGCACGCCCCCAGTCCCCGCCACAGCTGTCCACATTTGTGATGAAGCCCCCCGATGCGGCTCACTCACGGATCCTCCAGTAATATCACTTCTTTTAAACCTATTTATAATGTAAAATCTTTTAATAAAAGATGTGAAATAGTCCGCATCATTATTGATTTGTCTTGATTATATGTCATGAAGTTTTTAACTTAATAAATGCAGCATTTTTCTAAATTATGTGAAATGTGATTTTTTTTAACTCAATTGTTTAATAAACACATGTACTGTAGTAACTTTTTTCTTTTCTGTTTGTCACACGATCGACTCAATGAACAAACTATTTATAATGTAAAATCTTTAGTAAAAGATGTGAAATATTCCGCATCATTATTGATTTGTCTTGATTATATGTCATCAAGTTTTTAACTTAATAAATGCAGCATTTTTCTAAATTATGTGAAATGTGATTTTTTTTAAACTCAATTGTCTATTAAACACATGTACTGTAGTAACTGTTTGTCACACGATCGACTCAATGAACAAAGCATAAGTTGATGTTTGTCTATACTTCATTTTCTTTAGTCTAACAAACAAAAAAAGTGCAAAAAACAAAAGTAATGCACTCTTACTATTTGAACAATTTTTTATAAATATAGTGCTTTATTGTAAAAAAGAAACACAATAAAAGTGCAGTTGCTAACTTTGTCTACTTCAACAACAAGAAAAGATTGTTTTTAAATGACAGGCGGGTGTCCTAGAAAAAGCTGTACAATTCTACATCGGCTTCTGTTTACAAACAACATCAGTTCTAGTTTGTTTGTTTTTTTATGAAAATGCTATGATATTGTAATCAAACTTACAGAGAAAGTCTGTTGCATAGCAGTGCAAATCTCCGGCAGGCGGTCAGCTGTACACACTAGAACAGAAGACAAGACACAATCAACACCACACACACTTGCTCAGTATGCACACTTAATAGTGTGCATCTCACGAGAAACCAGGCTAAAGCCAATACAAGACATAATGCTTATGAGACTGTCACTTCAGTATCTAACTAGATGTTTCTCAATAAAATCAGGATAATTAAAACTAGAGTATCCCGCTAACTGGACAGCAGCTCAGATCGAGGTTCGGAAGAATATCTGACTTTTGCGAGCAGACTTTAAGAAACGTGAGATTGCGCTGTCTGACTTTTAAGAGCCTGATGTTTCTAATGTCGTCCGCCTCTTTTGTTTCCCGTGTTTTTCTCATAAATGAAACTCGGCTCATTTTCTGAAGGCCAGTCTCTGAGTTTGAATTATTAAAGTGTGCTTCATTCAGTCGGCCGTTCACTGAAACTGCAGCTCTACACATTTACTCTGCTTTGTCTCCACGCTCATTTTACGACTCTTTTGTTCTGACAGTGACGTTACAGTCTGGGTTAGTCTGACAGCCGAGACATATACATAATAAAACATATATATAGTACAACTTACAGGCTTTGTTCCAACACCTAGCAAGCTAGAACATAAAATAAATGCTATAAAGACATTCAGTACACAACAAATTCGCAGTGCTCATTACATCAAGAGACTTAAAGATAATCACATTATACTACAGGAAGGTGACAATAATTTCAAATGAACATTTCACTTTGTGTAAAACAGTGTCATATAATTTATATACTGTGCAGGGCTCGACTTTAAGCCTCGTCATGTGCTCGTCCTTAAGAAAAAGTAAATCAGTTATTCACTTGTCTGAGTACAAAAAAGTTACTTGTCCGGAAAAAAATATGATTTTCATGTAAAATACTATTTATTATGAGACAATAATATTTAAATGTTCATATTTTTGCAATTTACGTTTTTTTTTTTTTATTTTTTTTATAAAAAGCCTTTTTTCCTGATCATTTTAAATGTATCCTTCCTCTTAAATTATTATTATTTTTTTTTATTTGATCAATAAATTCTATAAGAATGATAAGACATTATAGGGCAGTTACCAATCAAATTAAATAATTTACACTGAAAAATTACAAATGCATTTAATAATGTTTAGGTCACTGAATCTTTGACTCAACCGATGCGTTCAAAACGCTGAATTATTTAGTAATGAAAACAGCACTGATGTTGCTTACCTGTATAATATGTTATAAATACTTTGTATAAAAACACATTTTATATTTTTGCCGCAGGTATGTTAACCGAGTTTCTTTGTGTCGTTTGCTTTGATTTAAAACAGCACAACCCTATTAACATCAGTTTAATTAATTCACTTTTAGTAATACCATAATTATTTTTTTGTTATTGGCGTTTTGATCCGGTTGGGCAAGTAAAATTCTTTCACTCGACCTTCAAAAAAATCCACTAGTCCCGAACAAGCGTTAATGTTGAGCACTGCATGTGTGTTATATATTTTTATGTTTATTATGTGTCATTAGTTTATTAACATGCTAACGGACAAACTCAACTGAAATCAATTGAAATTGCATTTTAAATCCACTTGATGCAGCTTTACTGAGCAAGAGAGCTCACTAGATTTTGTAACATAACAGGTGTCCAAAACTACAAGCATGTGAACTCTGACCTGGTGAAGCCCGCCAGCGTCCCAAACCCCACAATTCCTGTCAGGCCGTACAAGCAGAGCAAGGTGGCCCCAATGATGACATCAGCTCGCAGGACGTACGACTGCCAAATGACGAAATAGAGCGCCAGCAGCACTGTGGCCCCGGTGGCCATCAGATTCAACCCGTGTAGCCCTCGCTCTCCTGTAGGTTTCCCCTGAACCCTGAGGAAACGAGATTTAAAATGAGTCCAATTTTACTAAAATATGTTTTTTTTTACTAAACAAAAATAGGATCTCACCCCAGTACACCCTCAGGACCTCGAAGCCGGCCATAAGAAACAGCAGACACACGTCTAGAGCGAGTCGGCCAACAGGGTAACTCAACACATGAGCTGTCAAACGGCATCAAAACCACAAGATATAAATACATGCATTTCATTTCATCGCTTGATTTTTGTACACCTCAAGTATCATGCATGTCTGTAGCACAAAAAGAGCAGGAAGAGTTAAAATGTACAGTAAAATGTATCAGCCTAATACTTAAATCATAACTGTAATAGTGCAAGTGATGCTTGACTAAACTAAAACAACAAAAACAATTAAAGGACACTGATCAGTAGTACTCACTCTTGTAGATGATCATAGAGAGAATGGACAGGAAGTAAAACACACTGAAAGCGGCTGAGAGATACAGCAGGATCTGGAGCAGCACAGACGACAGCTGGTGTTCATTCAGGCTTCAAACATGCAAAAGTTTTCTTATCAATAATATATGAGTATACAAATATGGCAATTAAAAATGAGGCCACTATGTTTTAAATCTAATTATTCATGAATTATTATGAATTTGAATTGAGTTGGCAAACAGGATGAAGAAATGCAATTTAAATTTGAATTTAAGAAAGCCGAATGAATAATAATTGAAGTGAAAAGTAGATCATATAACTGTTTTATATATATATATATATATGAAGAGTTCAGATGCAAAAGCCTCTAAATGCCATTTGAAATTTTCTTCTTTAATGATGATTTTAAAAGACTAAAGTTTAAAAGTTTATAGTCCTCATAGACAGACAGAGAGACAGATAATTCTTAATTTTTCAATAAGTTCAATAATGCCTGTTCTGCTTATTATTTCTATCTTCCCTCTCACTTTTCCATTCATCCATCCATTAAATTAATGTATTACTGTTTAGGGACTGTTATTCCCTCAATATTCACAAAGGATACAACACTGTTGTTTTTGCCTAAAGGGAAAAGCACAATTACATTTGACATCTTAAATAAAGCAACCTAAGTCATGAAATGAATGAAATAGTAAACATGTCTGGCACTTTCAGAGTTTCAGAAACTACATTTCGCTTTTCTAGGCAGGCATATAACGCAATTAAACCACACAAAACGGTGAAATGTTTGAAACCATCAAAAAAATGCAAAAACATAAAGCTTTCACTGTAATATGAGGAAATTTGCGTTTATTTTAGCTGTATCTATGACAACAGAGCGGGTTACCTGCACGTCTAATCGCCATCTTGATTCTCTCACTCTCTCCGGATCGTTCGCCCAGTGTTCAGTCTTTGGCGCCTCCTAGTGAACGGGAGTGAAGTATTACAGAACGGAATGCATTACAGGATTTTATTTAAAGGTTTTTAAAATTAATCCCAGGCAAATTTAAGACAAAATACATACATAATACAGCATATCAATGCACTTAAAAACATTACTTTAAAAAATAACAAGAAAGCCAAGTTTTAACAGTGTAACCAATAATTTAGTTTATTTATCTTTTTTTATTATTATTATTTCATGTGGATTTTTTATTTTATTTAGTGGATGTGGATATTTTTTTAATCAGTCGATTTTTTTTCACAGACGTGAAAATGCATTATCTAAACTTAAATGGATGTAATTCATGAAGGCTGAGGAATACAGACCTACTTTTGGCCTCATTTTAAAGAAAACGCTCAGCTGAAGTGAAAGCACTTCAAAAAATTAAAGTGTTTGAGTTAAAGTCTAAGTTTAGCCTACTGTAAAGCAAATGTACTAGGGCCTACTAAACATTTTGTATTTTATACAAATGTGTATATATTATACAAAATGTTTTTTACTCTAAAATTGATATCATATCAAAGTCATTTAAAGCTAATTTTAAGTTGATATAAAAAAAATCGAGGTTCCTTTCGATCTTGTTTAAGTGTAATACCAAAAACAGCCACCGGGTGACACCCACATTCCATAGAAGTTTTTTAACGCGAGCTCCTGCAACAAATTAATACATTTCTGTCTCAATATCACTTCGCACAGTCGCCAGATATAAAACCTCTAGTCTTAGACCTTTCCAACGATGTGCTTTGTCAAGATTATACAAAGTTTTGATTATAAAATAGTTCAAATAAATGTTATAATATGAAAAATGACGCGGGGAAGGAGTCATGTTTCATAACTATTTTAACTATATTAGTGTGTAACTATCTAAAACAAAGAAGAAGAAGAAAAAAAAGAAAAAGAGGGTCAAGAGGCAAAAAAAGAGGGTCAAGGGGTTTAACCAAATTAAAGTCATTACAAAATAAAAGTGTTTTTAATGCTTTCTTATTTACTGAGGATGAGATGCTGTTACGGTACATTTCAAATTCTTTAAAAAAAAAAAACTATAAAAATTGGTTTGTTGTTGGAGAATTTACATAAAATTTGCCAATAAAATAAATTAAATAATAAACAAAGGCAGACTTTTTTATCGGGATCAAAGTCAAAGTATCCAAAATAATGTCTTTAAAGGTTACTGATATATCTTGCTGGATATTATCTTTAATAAACTTGCCAATACTTTCCCATAGTTGTTTAGTATAGACACATGACCAAAATAAATGATAAACAGTTTCTATGTGAACTTGGCACAATGGGCATCTTCACTCTCAGAAAAAAAAGGTACAAAAGCTGTCACTGGGACTGTCCCTTTTTAAAAAGTAAACTTTTGTCCATTTTAGGTGCTAATAAGTACATTTCAGGTGCTAATATGTACATTTTAGGTGCTAATTTGTCCATTTCAGGTGCTAATAAGTACATTTCAGGTGCTAATATGTACATTTTAGGCCCTAATATGTACATTTCAGGTGCTAATATGTACATTTTAGGTGCTAATATGTACATTTTAGGCCCTAATATTAACATTTTAGCTAATATGAACATTTTAGGTGGTAATATGTACATTTTAGGTGCTAATATGTACATTTTAGGTGCTATGTCCATTTCATGAGCTAATATGTACATTTCAGGTGGTAATATGTCCATTTTAGGTGCTAATATGCACATTTCAGGCGCTAATATGTACATTTTAGGTGCTAATATGTAAATTTCAGGCGCCAATATATACATTTTAGGTGCTAATATGTACCACAAAGGTACCAATATGCAGCCTTTGGGTACAAAAGTGTACCTTTTGAAAAGGTACAGTCCCAATGACAGCTTTTGTACCTTTTTTCTGAGAGTGTTGTGTCAATATTACTTTTATATTTAATTATGAAACATTTAGCGATGTAAAATGTATTTATTATTTTGAAGGATACTTCTTTTACAATACTGTTATCATGTAGGCCTAAACAACAAAAACGTAAATTGGTAACATCATGCGCATGCGTAGTATTACGTGTTCGGTATAGGCGTGTAAGTGTTTCTTTACGAAAGTGACTTTATGGCCTGGTATGAATAATACAGCGTTTTTAATTTTTCTTATGCTTTTTAAAAAAATTTTGATCCATGTGAACGGGATCGTTTTGAAACAGCGTCATCTGTAAAATAAACCACAAAAATGTTTCTGGAACAAATCGGCTAAAATATCTGCTGACAGTAACACAAATACACATTCACATGCACATTTATGTAAGCACACAAACACACACTCGTAATTTACTGGAATCTATGATAAGACACATTAGTCAGTAGTGAAAAAACACACCTGCTGAAAGAGAGAGAGGGGAAATTTTAACACCACCCCATTTTTTATGTGAAATATGATCATATTATTTATTTCTATATTTATCAGGGGGGTTATGGATGGTAGCTGTGTGGGTTTTATTTTACTACTAACTTATTTTAGCAGCACAGGGTTCTCAAACAACACACAGTCATCATTTGGTTATAGATTACTGAATGACATGGTCTCAATGACTCCAAATCAACAATAGCAGTACACAGGCAGAATAAGACATGCTGTAACTTCACATCCCAACACACACACACCCACGCACACACATTCATTGTGGTGGACTACCAGGACAGGGTCACATGTGTGCGGCCACACATATCCAGCAACGCTCACATTTAGACGAAGTGCATTAACACAGCCAGATGTTTCTTTGTCTCTGCAGCCTCAAGCTCTCTTTCTCTCGCCTGCGTCCTCCCAAACAATCCACGCAGTGTGTCGTGGGAAGAACGGGCGTGTTGTTCAGGTCAAACAGAGGAAAAAGGAGGGTGAGAGAGAGAAAGATGCTCCAGCTGTGAGTAAAAACAACAAAACTGCATTTGATTGGGAGGGGGGTGTGATGGACACAGGGTCATTGTTCGTAAAGAGGTCGCGGATAAAGAGACGAGAGAAACAGATCACTCAGCTCAGTGATAAATGATGGCGTTACACCTCATTCATTCACAATCCCTCAACCAACACAACACAATATTTTTAAGATTAAACCATGAGAAACTAGGCATATGAGAAGATAAATATGAAATAAGTGAAAGATTTCCACATTCATGTGTCATCATCCTGTTCAAAATCATATGTGCGCTTCATGAAAAGTAGCCTACTAAATGTGTGAATCAAATTGTATGATCAATAAGTAATGACATGGTTTTTACATTACTTGAACTCATCAAAATAAGTTAATCAACTTTTTTGTAAGATTCAACTCATTTTTAAAGTCATCTTATTTAAGTTGAAATGACTTAAACATCCAAGAAGCCTACTTAAAAAAATTCAAAGCAACTTTTTTTGTGTGTGTGTGTGTATCAGATGCTAGTTTGATATACGGTTACAATGATTACCATATACTCAAAACTTTAAAATACTGTGGTTTTCATGACAGTAGCCTATAATTTTGAGTAGTTTAAATGATAAATGAACATCAGAATTTGTATAAGTATACCTAAAACCATTTACATATTGTAAACACTGCAAAAACAGTCAGGTATGCCTATGTGATCCTATTATGTTTGTTATGTGATGTTTAGTTAACTGTCTTTGAGGCTATCGTTTGTGTTTTGTCTTTTGCAGTAGGCAGCCTAGTTATATCAATTGCAGAGGTTTATTTTAATAGAAAACCTGCCTCCGTAGCTGGCCCGATTAGCCACTTGCACATGTAAAACAGCAAACTACAATGGAAATCCTTGTTAAAACTATATTTTCAGGTTCACTTGTCTTTGCCCAAGCGCTCGCCCGTGGAGCGCGCGCGTGCGCAGCGCAAGACGAGCGAGAGCGCGCAGAGAGGACGCTGTTGAGCGCGTACCACTGAAACCGGCTCGAGCGCAGGTTGGTGCGCGCAAAACTCTCTCACAGGATAATTTTTTTATCGAATAAAAATACTTTCCAACTTCAAATTACCATTTTTTATTAAATAAGTCCGTAATGACGTATCGCAGTAACAAATAAACGATATCATCTGAGGGGAAAACTGGAATATGCCTCCACCTGACATTCAAAGGTAAAAATCTCCTCAGAAAAAGGATTTTTAAAAAAAAAAAAAAAAAACAATTTTTACTTACGAAAGGAACTGAAACTGTTTTAAAATACCATTCATTGATTATCCAGAGGATATACCGATAGTGAATTCGTTCGAGGAAGTTCCGAAGCGTGTTGTTATATAAAGATAATTGTGCGTCAAGTTGCTGAACAGGGATGATGAGAGTTTGAAGCGCACGCGACTCCCGCCGCTCCCGCGCGCCGGAGGATCGTCCGTTCACGTTCATGGAGTTTATAAGCGGGAGCCGCTAGGATGGATGCAGTGATTGATGAAACCGAGGCCTTACAGAGATTCTTCGAGGGTAAGACAGTTCATTGACCTGTTGATGTGACAGTTCAAAAGTAGTTTAAAAAGATGTTGCTTGTCAGATCACTATTTTTAGTGATGGATCCGATGGTGATAGCCTACCATGGTACTCTTATTTACACCATTACCATCACGTTTTCCCCCCAGGTAACATAAAGTCTGATTTAATAGCGTATTTCCGAGTCAACCTGACTGCTGCATTAGTTACACCAGTGAAAGTCATTTTAAGGGTCAGAACAAGCAATAATATTTGAAAAATGGTTCTGCTATTGTCTATGTTCAACAAACCTTGATGATGTTTTATACTTATGTAAGCTGGAGATGCACCTGAAGTGATTCAGAAAGAAATCACTAGTTAGTGATGATCTATTTCAGAGTAACATATTGCTTGTCATATTTCACTGATAATGTTTTTGACATGTTTCAGACATTGTTGTCGTGTGATTTAGGGGGATTACATTTGTCAAGAGACATAAAAAGCCACTGATGAGCCATCCCAGGGAGGAATGTTTGGGAAGGGCAGAAAGGTGGAGAGGATTGAAGAGAGAGATG